AAAAAAACGAAACTTTTAGAGAATCGGAGTTTTTGATAAAAAGGCTGAAATTCGAGAGACAAAAAAAATCTCATCCCTGTATAAAGGTCAACCAGTTTTATCCCAAGGAAATGATTTTTAGAGAAACTTCAGAGGGAGGAAAAGGGACTTCAACAATTTCCCTCCGCGGAAAATTAAATTCCTCATAAAACATTTTAACTTGGGCAAAAAAAATTTCAGCGGAAATTAGCGGGAAAAATGGAAAAATCTGAAAAAAAGCGGAAATCCGCGAATCCGCGGAAGAATCTCATCCCTGTTATTAGTGCGAGTAATATATTAACTGCTATCTTATCCATTATACTATCCTTACATTATATTATTCATTATATTATTCATTATGCTATCCTTTTTAACTGCTATCCTAAACCATTCCTTATTTGATTTGTTCTAAGTCTCTTCACATGACAATGTCTTCATATTGAATCTCACAAACTGTATTCCGTACATTAAATTTTTTTGCAGTTCAGATGATTATTTTTCACATCTAGGTAATCGAGTATTTCGTTGCGATTAACACCATAACAAAATGTTCGTACATAAAACTATAATAATTGTATATTTTGAAACCCAAATGCTCTGTGTTTTTGGTGAAAACCGTTAACGTTTGGGAAGAATTAAACAATGATGAAATAATTAACTATGGGAGTTGGTAAGGGAGCCTCCTGTTTTAATTTTAAAAAAATTATATCTCCAGAATTAAATGAATTAAACAAACACTTCAGTTATCATGTGAAATAGTAAGTGCTTTTCAAGGAAAATATAAAATTTTAAATACAAAATAATATTTCTTCAAGAAGAATTTTTTAATTTTAAATTAAAAAATATTCTCCTTACACATGAAGAATTCCTCCTCATGGAGAATTCATTAATGAGTTTAGCATTTTTCTGCCTTTAAGCCTTGAATATTTTTTAAAATTTCTTAGATAAAACTTTTTAAATTTTGTTTAATTTCCTTTAAAGCTTCTCTAGATACATTCGTTTAAATAAGTGCGAAAAATTTTAATTTCTTATAACTAACTAAAAATCAGTTTTTTTTAATTTAACACATAAGAAACAAAAGCCTATTCAATACACGAAATATAATAAAAAACTAAAATTTAATTTTAAAAAATTAAAAATTAAAGTTTAATTAAACTCTCCAGGAAATAACCAAATTTTTTGCGCTTCCAAGTCAGAATATTAAAAACTCTTTCATCTACTTCAAGTTTATAAAGTTAAAACATTATTTTAAGTGATACTTCGGAGAATTTAAATAACTTTTAAGAAAATGTTGAAAATATTAAATATCAGTACAAATTTACATATTAAGATATAAGTAATCATGTGGAAAAGCGTTTCGTTTAGTTCTCCGTTTTTAAAAAGTTAAAATCATATTTTAAGTGATTTCGTAGAAAATTTAAACAACTGCTTTAAAAGCATGTTGCTATGTGATATATATCAGCATGCATATTAAATCAAAGTAGATGTGTGGTATTTTGTTTATTTCTGCATGCTGGAAATTTAAAATACCTTTTAAAACATCCGACAATAACTTTAAATAATTGTTTTAAAAGTATGCGGAAAATACAAAATACATAATTTTAAAAAGTAAATAACACTTTAAAAAGTATATTGAAAGCATAAAACATGGACATATTTATATTTTAAGCAGAATTATTTAATATTTTGCATGTAAGTAATCATATGGAAAGGTAGTTGGTTAAATTCTTCACGTTTAAAATGTAATTATCTTATTTTAACAGATACGGCAATAAATTTTCAAGGTGTAATGAAAATACAAATATAAAACTTTATAAGCAATATTTTATTCAAACAAAACGTTGAATTCTTATCGTTAATCTACTTATTCAAAAAGTTGAAATCCTATTTAAGAGATACGGCAATAAATTTTAAGAAAACTCTTTCAAAAGTATGTTGAAAATGAAAACATAAAATATCAAAGTATTTTATTAGTTACATGAAAAAGTGTTTTTGGATCTTCGTATTTAAAAGATGGTATAATATTTATAAAGATACGGAAATAAATTCAAATAACAGTTTAAAAAGGGGAAAACGCTTAAATTCTTTTTAAACATTTAATTAAGAAACTTGAGAATTTTAAAGGTTGAAGTCAAGGTCGTAGTTTTGTTTTAAAATCTGGAGCTGACAGAAAAACGTGAACATCGTGTACTCAACGCAAAAAAAATCTAAATCGAATCAAATCCTTCTGTTTTTTCCTCCAGGAATGGATTTGATTACGTGACTAATTTTGAAATTTTTAACCCGTACGATCCTGAGTCCTTCAGGAGCTAAACAACAGAAACTTCTATATTTATCCGCAATATCAAAGAAAAATTCCAAAATTTATCTTCAGAGCTTATCACGTAAGTATTTAAAGGCAAAACTGTCTATTACATGATGAAATAGCTGCATTACTAAAAGAATTTATTTAAAATGAATTAATTGAAATGAAATGTTAATAGTTTGAAATTTATTAATTGAAACAAGAAAAACTCTGTGCTTGTAAAACTTAAATAAAAATTATTCTTGACTTCAACAAATTTCAATTTATTGAAATAAATCACCTTTAAAAACAAATTTTCAAAAAATGAATTAAATATTGGGTAAACTCAATAAAGTTTGTAAATAAATAAGGTTTAAAACACTCTAAAAATTTGAGAAAGCAAATGTTCTACAGAAAATAAAATCATTTTGCATTTCAAGCTTTGTTAACTAAAACAAAACAAATGGAAAGCCTTCGAAATTTTTCAGATTTCTTAGAATTGGAAGGTTTGCCCAAACTCAGTCTTACAACTCTCTTCGTAAGAAACAAACTATAGCACGTTGATGCAAACTCTGAACGCGGAGATGAAAATACAGGAACAATACAGAAAAGATCATTATTTTTAAATGAACTTAAATTGGTCTGCGAAAAAAAACTTAAAGTTTGATTTATTTCGTCTGCTACGCCGAAAGAAATCTGCTGCCCCCGCCGCCATCGTGCCACACTAGCTCTGCTACTGGAGTCAAGAAGCTTACCTTCTTGGTAAAAATAGGTACTATTTTGTTAGTTCATCTTTATTTCTCCTTCTAATATTTACGCTAGACTTAGTTTACAACACTGATATAATTATTTTTCTTACATAAATACTTTAAGTAAAAGATGAAAAATCAGCTTTAAATCTGATACAAAACTCAAAAGGAAAATAAACCAGCGTCAGGCCAACATTTGTTACTTAAAACTGCATAATTCTTTGTTTTCTTCTACTTTTTAGGAATGACGATTGTTCGAATTGCTCATTTAGCTCTTCTTCTCATGCCATCAGTACTGTTATGCAAGGAATATTTCACCGCAGCTGTGTTTGAGCATCAAACAAGGGGTTCTGATGAGGCTGTAAAAAATTTACAGGCAGCTATGGGTAGAAATTTGAAGCTGTACGCAAAAGCTGCAAAAATAGCTTCCCAAAATGTGAGTGATGTAAACATTCCGTAATTTTAACATAAGAGGTGTATTACATAATTAGAAAACGATATAAGAATGTATGCAGTTATTTAAAACTTAGTAAAGGAGTTCACTTTTTCATAGGTCTGATCTTTAGATCAGTAATTTTGACAGTTGCTCTGTCTTTAAGTCTAAACTCGTAGCAATTTATAAGGGTCTACACTATATTGACTTGTCCACTGAACTGTTTCTCTGGGACACTTAGATTTTATCGACATTCGTACCTCTATACAGCATCTCTCACAATGGATGACTGTAGGAAATATGACAAGCAAGACCCGCCCCATTTATGGGGCATCCAGGGATTACTGTGGACTATTGTTACTGTTATCCTCAAATCAGACGGCGGAGCCGGCGGTGCATGGACACTCGAGGGTCCATGGTCCCGAGTCACGCACGACAAAGCAACACAAATGCATCGACGGATAAAGGATGCCGAATGGGACAAACCCCAAGTCGGTGCGGTTGTGCCAGCCCCAGATGCAGACGACTCACGAAGAGTATGTGGCACGAGGAGAGCCAGCCGCCACGCCACGACCTCTCAAGGCATCCTCCGACTGGAAAGAACCAAACTGGTGCTTTACTTTATTTAAATTCAAAACAGACAAAAGGCTGTGACAAGCCTGAATATTCTAGATCTTGTGGTTCGGCTTTCTGATAGGCACTTTACTTTCAATGGGACCTCCCAACATGGTTTGATCGGTAATGAAATCGCCGACATTATGGCCAAGACTACCTCTGTAAACATCCAGCAGGACAATGCCAGCTCAACTTTCATAGAAATCTCCTCAATCAAAAGGATGGAACTAAATCCATTTTGCAGAGTTCTACCTGATCATCCTTGATAATTTGAACTAAGACCTCTATGGTGTCATTAATTCAGTATTTCGAAGAAAAGGCAGGCGGCACCCTTTCCGGAGTGTCATTGGTACAAGGCTGACCATATTCTCAAATGCTTAAGTTTTACTGTTTCCGAGATTTTAAGTGATCCTTTTTTGCTTTTAGACTTTTTACAGATTTTTGGTTTTATGGAGAAACTAGACTAACTGGGATTAGAAGCAACAACAACAGCTTTTCATAGATGGAAAAGTTATCGCAAGCGAAGTATGAGCGCATTTATTTTTGCGATAGTTCCAAACAGTCACACCATTTAGATTGTTTGGTTGACTACAATAGAAAGCTCTTTAAATAAATTAGATTTTTTCCTTTCTTTTCTGTAATACACCAAATAATGTGTCTATACTCACTTTCCCTGGATTCCTCTTTTCTCTTTCGCTACGACTTTCTTTACCTTCTTCCCCTAAATCGCTGGAAACGGTGCGCTTAACTCTCACTTTGCACACGTCAACTCGTGAGGCAGAACAGTTTAACTAGGACCGATATCGAGCACCCACGATCCCTTCGTAGGCTGATCAAGTGGTCGCCGATTCGCTCACTGACCACTGCCAATGATGCTTGACTTCAATGATTTACTGGGAACTGTGTCTTACGATCAGTTCATTATAAAACCATAAAATTACAGATCACGGTATCTGTTTTTAATATTTAATCTTTTCTATCAAATAGGACATTTATTTTCATAAAATCTCTCTCGTGAACCTAAATAACTAACGCAAAGTAGGATTATCGAGTACAATTATTTTCTTCTCTGCAGGAATCTTCCAATACAAGAAAGTAAAACATTAATTGGTTTCATTTTAAATCATTTTTACGCATAAATAAAAAAATTAAGAATGATCTTAAAACTCTATTACACGTTTAATTTATGACCAAAAGCATCAAAATGCCCTTAGTTTGAAAAAAAAAGTTACAAAATGAAATTTGTTTTTTTAAGTGCGTAAAATAAGAGTGTGTTTTGATTATTCTGTTTATTTCGTTTTGATAGTTTATGCATTTTCCCTAACAGTTGTTGTGAGGATAATTTCGCAGGTAAGCTTATTTTGGATCGGAAGGTCGGATTATTGAAATGGAGGTTATCGAAAAACCACTCCTTTACAAATTACTGCATCATTATCAGAAAAATTAATAATTATAAATTAAATCAAATCAAATCGAAAGTATAATATAAATACAAAATATTCAAAGCACTCTCGCAGCAGCTCGTTATGTGTTTAGGAGTCATGGAGGTTAAAGCTCCCCATTTCGGGACCAACAACAGCTTTTACTTCGCCGACGAGCTAGTAAGTAATCATCGATCTAGCAGCTAGTTGGATATTAAGCCGCCACTGAGGATCGAAACCCAGACCCTCACCTCGTCACCTTTAACCCCTGAACCGTCGTGGCTCAACATGAGAATAATGGTAATGCGAAATTTATTACAAACATAATATCTAACAACGAAAGTTAAATAATGTTTTAAGTCCGATAATTTAAATAACTCAAATGCACCATAGCACACAATTAGCACAAAAAAATCAGGATTTCGATTGCTTGTTGAGGTTTTCATTACAGCGCATACGTCTGTCACAGAGCATTGATATTTATTCTTGTTGAACTTCGAATACGAAAAATTTTTCTCGCAAATACATCTACAGGCACAATTTAGAGAGCACATTTTTAACAAATATTTTTCTTTTTTCTTATTCCAGACAGAATTTTTTTTTGGGATCTTGCCAGGCCATGAAAATCCTCTTACAGGCCGCATGTGACACACATAGTATAGTGTAATTTAAGCTGTTGCTTATTATTTTTTGACAAAAAAATTTTTTTATTTAATTTTCTAAAAAAAGTTTATTTTAATTTTTCAATTTTAGGGGGCTGACATTCTTCTTTTCAATGAGTATGGATTAATAGATGATCCATCAAATCAGGAACAATTAGGGCGATACGCTGAAATTATCCCCGATCCTAAGAAACAAAAGTCGAATCCTTGTATTGAAGATCATAACAACAGAATCAGGCTTTCGACAATCAGCTGTTTGGCGAGAGATAACAATTTGTATGTTGTTGCAAATGTGATAGAGGCTCAAGAGTGTGATTATTTCTGCCATAAAAATGACGTTGAAAACTGCGCGAGTGAATGTCCTAATGATGGTGTTTTCATATACAATACGAACGTTGCATTCGACAGAGAAGGAAATCTGATAGCGAAATATCGTAAAATGCATCCATATTTTGAGAGTGTCGATACACCGGAACCGAATTTCGTCACTTTCGATACCGATTTCGGCAAATTTGGCCTCATCGTATGTTTTGACTTAATATTTAGAGAATCTGTTGAACTAGTACGTAACTATAATGTGGATACTTTGCTATTCTCAACTTTTTGGTTTGATAGGATTACAATTCTAAATGCAGTTGAATTCCAACAGGCTTGGGCTTTGGCAAATAATGTAAATTTTCTAGCAGCTAATACCCAACTGGCAAAAACAGGATCTTTGGGTAGTGGGATATATTCAAGGCATTCAGGATATTTGGTTTATACATATGACAGTGATGGCGATTCTAAACTTTTGCTGGCAAATCTCAGAATAAAAAAAGATGCTAAAGTTTCGCATATTAATTCAATCATTGTGGTCAGGGAAAACGATTCTTTTCTTAAAACTGAAGAGACAGGATCTAATTTCCCAGCAAACTGTTTTCAGGAGTCTGTTGGTCCGGCCAAAAGTATTAATGACTACAGATGCTTTAGACCTATGACAGAAAACTTCACAATAACTAAACTAAGCTCTCCCTCTGGAGAAATTAAATCTTGCAATAACGGATTATGTTGTTCCTTGAAGTATTCTACCGATGGCTTGGAGGATGAAATTTATCTAGCAGCATTCAATGGTAGCAGTAATGTTAAAAACTTCCATTTCTGGTGGGAAGAAACTTGTTTGTTAATCAGGTGCGATCCTTTTAATGGTAAAGAATGCGTAATACAACCTACCACTTCGAAAACAGTGTTTAAGAGTTTAGAAATGAGGGCGAAATTTGAAGCTGAGAGAATTTTTCCAACAGTCACCAAAAACTATTATAGGTTAGCACCAAAAGAAGAATGGACGCTCGGAACTATTGAGACAGAAACCTATTTAAGATTTCAGTCGAATTCCACTACACCATTGTTGAAGGTTGCTTTAATGGGAAGGAATTATAAACGTGACCCACCATTTATACCATTCAATGTCTCAAGACGATTAAGATTATCCCAGCTCACTCATTAATACCATATATTTATGCATTTATTAAAAAATTTTATTCCGATTTCGCTCGAAATTCGTATTCTGCCATGTAAAATTACATTCTTTTAAATGATTTAAAAAAATGTATACCTTACAATTCAAAACTTTTTCGACCATTCTTGAATAAAATAATAAAAAATAATGAATATTTACAAAAAGTTATATTTTTTATCATGGAATTATCTTTCAATAAACGAATTTTATAATTGTGTGCAAAAATAATTTCAATTCGCTCAAAAAGTTCTCGGGATATAGCGAAATACGCACAAAGTAAAATTAACATTAAGGGATCCAAACTTTCGTCCTTTCTCCTGATCCAGCTATTTGGACAAAATTTTCCAGATTGCTACTACCTCCTACATTTTTAATCCGAATCCGTGGAGAGAAAAAAAGGTAGGTTTATTCAAAGAAAGTACGTTTTTTGTGTCAATCTTTGTAACTTAAAATATCATCTGCACAATATAATTAACATGCTTGAGGTCACCCTCTCGAAACAAAAAGACTGAATCCTAAAACGTATTGATCCAATCATTAGATCTACGGTCATTCCGGTTGTTCCGTTTTTTCTTTTGATTACTCTTTATTAAGGAACGCAAACTAGATTAATATTTCAATGAGAAAAATATGCTTTTTAAAACTCTGGCCAATCATTAATGAGATTAGAAAAAGCAAGAGAAGGATTTAAATCATCAGAAACTACTTCATTTGCCTAGATTGCAATCCATTCCTTTTTTCGCCAAGAACTCCCTTCAGGCATCGTATTGTAATAAGCTAGTTTTAGGTAGATCCGTCATTGCTCTATTACCCTAATTGTAATTAGTAATAGTTATACTTTATTAATAATATGAATTCTAAAATTGCATATTAAGAGTTAACATTACTGACCAAACTATTGGGACCATATAGCTATAAGAACTAATCGAACTATAAGATGATCTTATAGTTTGATTAGATCATCAAGACAAAATGGATAGGTCAGTTTAATCAACTTATTACTTGAAAATGATTTTATATTTCATTTCTCAGTTTTGTTGAAAAGTTACTTATATGGCCTACTTAAAAAATCACCGTATCAAATTTGTGTATCACAGCAAAATACAATTTCTTTTCTTCACTATAAATTAATGTGAAGTTATTAAGTCCACATTGCTTACTTCATTCCAAAGAATAAATGTGATTTCAAAACGTGCAGATTTGTAGTAATTATAAAATATTTTTCTTTATAGAATAGTATTCATATATATACTTCTGTATCTATATAATACGTAAAACAACAATAAAGAATCATTCAAATTACTTGAAATAGTATCACTTGTGTTTATTATTAATAAGTTTTTATCGTTTTCTTGGTAAGTATTTTTTAATTTTGACTCATTATTTTCATCTAGAATTAAGTTATTCAGTTTTTAAGTGAAATATTGAAATTCATATCGAGACCTTACAACCATTAAATTTTATTGTGTGGTCATCATCTTAAAGCAAGGAAGGACTAATCTATGTATACATAATTTGAAAATAAAATTTTCAAATGAAGAACATTTTAGTTTGGAATTCTTCGGATTTATAAAGCAGATAAGTGGAAAGGATTTTTGTAATAAAAAATTTACTGGTAAATATTTCTTTTTTCGAATTTAGTCTGATTAAGAACTTTTAAGATAGTCTGATTAAGAACTAGAAAAAAAATGAAAAATTTCAATGTGAAGAATTTTTAGAATCGTCTTCTTATTTTTTTTTTATCGTAAGCATTCCTTATTTTACGTTTTTTTGTTCATAAATAATAATTTTTTTATTAAAACTTTAAATTTATTGGTAAAATTGCTGTCAAAAAACTTTTTTTTTTTTTGCAAAATTAAGGGATATAACATTATGTGTTTCTGTATACTTCTTACATATTTTAATGATTGAAGTAATATGATTCAGAATGTAAAGTTTAAATAAACCTTTCATCTTAGATCAGTTAATTTAGTAGAACGAAAAAAAAGATATCCCATTTTGTTCTCGCTTGCATAAGAAAGAATATCAAGCATTTTTCTTTTTTAAATTTAATACGACACAATAAGGAAGGAAAGTTACCATGCTACACTGAAGAAATCTCCGGTACAACTGATGATGCTATAGTAACACTAAAATGATCGAAACAGTTAGTTTGGGCTGTGGATTTGAAGATTTAACACTCAACAATTTTCAGATTAGTTTCTCAGTCATATTTTTGCTTACTTCCGTTTATTTTATGGGCAATATTACAATTATATTTATAGTTCTAAGGATAAGTTTTTTTTCTGTTTCATTTCAATGAAAATTATTGAATTAAAATAGAATTGCTTGAGTTTTTGTCGGTGTTTTAAGTTTTTTTTTTTTCTTTTCATATTGTTTATTTTCGTTAAAACATACATTTTTCAAAACAACTCCAAATCTCTCATCTTGGATTTTCGTTCTATTATTCGAGAACAAAGTTTCTATTATTTTTTATTTACTCCTGTTTATTTCATTTAACATTCTCATTCAATTTTCGTTAGATAGAAATTAAAACCTGCTCTGATATTTTATTTAAAAGCGTTTATATAGTAATTATAAGCAAAAACACTTACCTTTATTTGTTCTTTAACTGGTTAAAAAATATTGATAGCGGTTGCCAATCATATATATAGGTATTTTATTAAACAGAGAAGTAAGTGTAAGAACAAGATGGAAATGAATTAAATATTTAATTCAAAATGAAATCTACAATTAGTGTTAAAACAAAATATACTCTTTCATTAACACTCAATATTCTTTAAAATCCAAGCATTTCATCCAGTTAAAATATATGAAATAACCAAACGATTACAGTGAATTTTATAAATTGGGTATAATATAGCCTACGTCACAAGCTGTGTTGTTCCTACTAAATTTAACCCATGAACGGCATTTTCTGNTATGCAAATATAGAATATTTATTATCAATTCAATCAACTTTAATAAAAGAAAACGATAAACCGATCGTCTGACAAGTAGTTGAGGATTTTACCGTTGGGCGCTGAGATTTGGTTAAAAAGTGTTGCCATTTTACAGCGCTTTAAAAAAAATTGCATTGTATTTTTCCTTTTCCTGCATAGGAGAGGAAATTTTCTTTATCTATGAAACATTTTGACCTCACTTATACTGTTCTATTCATAACCATTTTTATTTCTTTACTATCAAACAATAGTTACATCAGAATTTAAAATTATTCTGTAAAAATAATCCTGACATTTTAGCTCCCGAATCTATTGAAATAAAATTTAAATCTAATCACTTCACTCTGTTATCATTGCAACATCATCCACAAACGTGATTTTTAAAGTTCTCATTTGATTTTAAAATACCATGAAAAGTAGTTAAATATTTTTGTCTCAGAGATTATTGAGCAATAATGCGGAAAATTTGAATATTTATTTTGTATTTGTAAAATATTGGTTCAGGTAGAGCGTGACAACAGCTTCAATAGTTTTATGTAAACATTCCGCAAATTCGAGAGTTTAGTATATGCTAGAAATCATGGTGTCTAACTCTTAATAGAAAACGAGAAAATAATTCAATTTTTATCAAACGAAAAACACTGAGAGCATAGTTTTCGTAATAAACTTTTATCATCACCCAAAATTTCGTCTTTGTCTTTTGAAAAAGATGCATCTTATTTTTTTTCCTTTCTGATGTGTTAAAAATGAAATTATTGTAACTTGAAGCTATATAATAACTTGAAGCTTTTTATTTTATATTCATCCCAATTTCCATTTTAAATTGTGACCAACTTTTAAAGAAACACAATTCTTTTTTGTGCTTATTGAATCTTTTAATTAAATAATTGGGTCATTAAATCCAGAAAATAAAATTTAAGTAAAGAGAAAATGAATAATAACATTTTATTTTTTGCAAAAGAATAATGAAATTTTCAGAAAAATAATAAATTTTAGAAGAAAAGCTAAAAACAGCACTCAATAAAATTCAGAGTGATATGACTTAACACTAGCTTATAAGATTTTATTTATTGAATAACAATAATGAAAAATTAAAAGTAATACAATATGTCAGAAATTCTAATAACACTCTATAAACTGCAAAATGATAAACCTTAATTTCACGTCATCAGGAATTAGTGCAGTGCTGCTGTCTTTAGGTCAATTGAATAATGACGAATAATTTCTTTTGATTTCAAAACCCTAACTAACGTAGCGTAATTTGACAGCCATTAGTGTTTGTTTTGTTCTGTTTAAAACTCTTCTTCGCTATTTAGTTTATTTATCTTTCAAAAGAAAAAAACAGTACTTTTTGGAGCTACAGTACCTGGCCAAATTATTGGACGCACTATAAGATTCTGTGTTTATTGCTTTTACGCGACTGAAACCGGTTTGTAATTGTTTACGTTCGTGTATAAATTAGTGAAAATAGACGATATAAAATATAAATTCGACGATATATTATGCAAATATAGAATATTTATTATATCAGGTACTATATTATCAATTATTAGACCAAATTATTGGATGCACCGTAGTGTTTTAATAATTGCATGTTTTGCACGAGTTTATATGCAGTACTCTTACATTTGAACATAAATGTAATGAGTTTCTATAGAGATTTTTTCATATACTTCCCATTTGTATTTATTTTTAATGTAATGCATTACAATGTTAACCAATAAATACACGAACATAAGCAAGTGTAAACTGGTTTCAGCTGCATGAAAACACTAAAGCTGGAGAGTATCACCTGATAATTAAGATTTTACATAGAATCTTGCAGCTTGCGATGCGTCTAAGAATTTGGCTAGGGACTGTAAACCTCTTTCATCACATTCAAATTTTTAAACAGTTTTTTTTTTTTTTCGCAAGATAAAGTAATTAAAGCTTATTATAATTTCAATACAAAGCTGAATACATAAATATGTATTTCAGTATAAATTGTGACGGTCGAAACATGCATTTAAAAGGTTGACTTTTTCTTTAATAAGTTCCAAAACGTATATATATTTAAAGAATATTTCTAATTTAAATATTTTTATAATTATAACAACAACAAAAATAAAATTATCTTACTGTACAGTATGAAACCTGAAAAAACACAATATGTTGGAAATTTTTTTAATAAAAATCTAAACAAAAAGTTTCTTTAATATGGTCAAACTAAACTTAAAAAAAGAACAAAATTACATATACTTTTCAAATATTTTGATATAATTTTCAAATTATATTTAGTATAATCTAACACCTAAAGATGGCAGCACTATACTAGTTTTTGATGGCATCAATCACGTAGTCATTGACACGCGAAAAATGAGATGGCAGTAAATGGCAGAGACCATCGTTCGTATTGTTTGCAAAAAAATTGCGGTTGTTCATCACACTCCGCTCCAGATGCGAAGAGAAAAAAATTCGCAAGTGAGAAAGGTCCATTAGAGGCCATACACTCTGGATGCGATTTTTTGAATGTGAACTTGGGAGTTTTTAGCTGATAAATATTTCTTACCAATCCGATGCTGATAAATATTTCTTACCGATTCTCGTTGGTATACTAAAAAATCGCTTCCAGTGAGAATCCTGTAAACTCAACAAAAGCCCAATCGACGTTATGACTTAATTGATAAAGTCCCGTAGTGCAGTGTTTCCCAAACTTATGACTTTTGTGTACCCTTTCTAAATTTTTCATAACGCTGTGTACCACTAATAAAAAAATGAATGTATCTTTTACTATTAAAAAATTGCACAAATGTTAAAAATTACAACTGACTGTTGATACCACTAATAATTAACTGTTAACTCTGCAAAAAATAGCCAATAGAAAATTACATAATCGTAAATTTTCATGGCTAGCTTTATTTTTAAATAAAAATTTTTTGAAATTTTCGTTTGTTGCAAGATATTTCGCATAAGAATGCGTACCCCAGCTAAACTGTTCCCGTACCCCTGGGGGTACGCGTACCACACTTTGGGAAACACTGCCGTAGTGCATTGATCGTTAAGACACGGTTCACAGCAGATCACCGAAGTCAAGCATAACTGGCTGCGGCCAATGTGGGGGTGGGTGACCACTCGGATCAATGTGCGTTGGGACCGAGGGTGTGCGCTATTGGTCCCAATTAAACTGTTTTATCGTAAAATGCTAGACTTCGCGTGCAGGTCATTGGGCTACCGAAGCGGGGGTGCCATTCCCTCTGCCGAGGATCAAAATTGTGAAGGCCTGTCTTCGGATCATCCTCAGGGATGTTTCCAAGACTGTCGCCAATAACCCATTGAACAGCTCTAGTGCGACGTAAATTAACTATAACTACTATTCGCGATCGCAACACTCGAATACGCCATCTGGGGAGAGACCGGTTTCATGCCTTTAGCCCTTCTCTCTCCTCCTTTTTTCAGTTGTATAGGAATGTACTACGATATTTTCCCTTTTCTTAATATTTTTCCTTTTTATATAATAAAAATATTTCTTAAAATCTCCATGATACTTTTCTTTAGAACTATGTTTAATGTAGTTTTCAGTTCCATATAGTTTTTCAAGTTAAAAGATTTTAATCTATATGAAAATCCAGAGAGAAACTAACGCACTTCTTTCCTCTATGACTTTCCACACGCTAATGGGGAAAGCATGTGAAGTGTTGCCATAGGAAAAGAGTTCTGCTCTACGCCACCTGCAGCCCATTTCGATCGCCAATCGAACATCGACATGGCACAGAAAAAAAATCCCATTTTCGAAAAGGGAAAATTAAGCACTTTTCAAACACCCAATGAAAAATACAGTTAAGGACTTTTAAAAAACGAAAAAAAGCACCTTTAAGCATTTTTAAAACGTTCTGCACCATGTCTATTGCGACGTAAATGAACTAAAACAACAACGACTTAATTGATAAAAATTATTCTCACCATACTTTCAAAGTGATGATTTGAATTTAACCCACGAATTTTCCAGAAATAGTGCCAAGATAACCTTACTAAAAATACTACAGCTCAGATTAATGCAATTAGAAAACAAGATCATTCTCATGCTGTATTTTCAAACCAATTTTTTAAAAGCCTTAACAACTTCCCATTCAATCAACTCACAAGGAGCATTCACAACAAATACGCTTACCGCACAGTCGATCGAAATAAGCCCGAAAGAATTGAATCTGCAATACGTCTCATCAATCACGAGATGTTGCAGATGATGGAATAATTCCTTCTAAATATGGCATTTGTCAACTGTTGAGGCAGCCAAGGCCAGCAAGGGGCTGCTGTTCTACATATGAAGAGAAACTTGGTTTTCCAAGAGTTGGCTCTTATTACTCATTTACTGCACGTGCTATTATGGAAAGGGTATATTTGTATGCCAGTCAACAACGTAATGTGTTAATGTTTGAAAATTAAAATTTTTACTTGTCGGAAACTTAGAATTGTGTTTCAAATAATACATAGTTTCCTTTTAATATATTGAGCTTACCTGTTTTTTGAGAATTTTTCTATAAATCTTATGTAAATAAAAGTTGATAAAACAAATTTTGTAAATTGATGTTTTCTATGTAACAAGCTAAGACTTTTTTTTTTATACATAATGTATAGAAAAGAATATCAATATTTCCATATGCTGTCAAAATTCCTTTATTCGATTTTTTTAAAAATTCTCTGCTATTAATATACTATCATTACCATAAAATAAAAAAAAACATCATTTTATAATATTTTTTGTAGAAAATATTCTTGTTGAATTATTATTAAATGAAATTTACCTTAAAGTAAATATAAAGGTTAATAATGAAGGAATCGTGAAACACTAAAAAATGTAAACAAATACTTCCATGTAAACAGATGGTACAACAGAGTAATGAATAACTAGTTTAAATAAGAAAATTACCAAAACCTCGTAAAAAATAGAAGTTGTAATAAATTATCTTCAACCGAGATTCAATTTATGGGCATAAAAAACTTTTTATATTTTAATAATTTGATTAAAGCATTCAATATTTTTGCGTTTTAGTAAATTATTAAAAGAATTTTTTGACAGTAAATTAAGGGAAAATCATTAGCTTAAAAATAAGATTAGTGTTTCATCATGTAAGAAGAGAAAGCTGAAGGAACAACTTGGCAGTGTGAGATATAGGTGATTTGTATTATACCTCATTTCAGCTAGTGAGATATATAAATAATCTCACTTAGGTATTATTTGCATTTTCTATTTTAGTTCAGGAAATTTATGTAACTTTGGGGGGGAGGGGCAAACTTCTAGGATTTCTTCATTTTTTCTCTTAAATACTTATAAAATTTTTAAAATTACCTAGCTTTTCTTTTTACTAAGAAATATAAGTAGAACGATTAGTTTTTAAATTTGCATTACCAATGTGAGAAAAAGTGATTGAACAGCACTTGAAAAACAAAAAGTTTCAGGGCATTAGGGTATATTTTTTTTAAACTTGTGAATCGTGAGCATTGAGAATACGTCTTAGAGGAAATTGATCTTAATAGTGTGATAAAAGACTGCCTCTCAAAAATTGTTGCTTTAATACAAACACATATTCAAAAATTACTTCCCCCCCCCACTAAAATTACTCACAAAGTGGCCCTAATAACTACAGACCCAGCGTCCCAAAAATAGATCAGGAAACATGTCAGATTTGTGAAATATAGTTTCTCAGAAGAAGAAAAATCATTCCCTTCTGACAAATAAAAAATTCTAATAAATAAAATCTCCAAGCATACCAAATTTCCTTAAAAAGATGTTTCCTCAACATGGCAATGCAGATAATAAAAATATAACAGTAAAGATAAAAATTAGTTTTTAATATCAAAAAACTAACTGAAGTAGGATAAAATAAGAAGACAAAGAGTGGCTTTTAAGAATAAAAGATTTTTATTTAAAAAAAAGTCAGAGTCAAAACACTTGATGCAATGAAATATGATGAAAGGTGCAAAATGCAGTTTTATTTTATGGATCTATCTTAAGGAGTCTTGGGGGCAGCCTGTGTTCCCTTCTTACCAATGAGAGATTTGTGGATGTGAGGGATGACACCACCACCAGCAATGGTGGCCTTGATGAGTGAGTCAAGTTCTTCATCACCACGAATGGCTAATTGAAGATGGCGAGGTGTAATTCTCTTTACTTTCAAATCTTTACTAGCATTGCCTGCTAACTCCAATACCTGCAATAAATAAATAAACATTAAGATTCCTTTTCTACACAACTGTTATAAACTTATCGAATGCAGAAACCATTACTAAAGCAATAACCCGCATACTCTTAATTTCAATGAGAATCGACACTAATGTGATTTATTATATAAATATCATTAGTATTCAAGAGTTTCTAATTCACTTAAATCTTGATAAATTTAGCAAAAGAAAAAAAGTCAAAAAATGCAGACCTCCACCAACTTAATTTTTTTAAAGCATAAAATAGCAAAAACAGGAAACAAAATTTTAACTGAACAGTTTATGTATTGATGCCTCCATTTTTAATATAAATGAGTCACTAATTATGCAAAAGATTTTAGATAATTTAAAGAAAAAAGAACTTATATCAAACCTTAAAACAAAAACGAACTAATGCAAATACAGTCAAACCACACTATAGTGAACCTTCAAGGGATCAAAATTTAGGTTCACTATATCCGTTACGCCGGCAATTTAGCTAATGGTTCCCAAACTCCTCCTTTTTATTACACATTATTCAATTAATTGACTGAAAAATATTATGTAGCAGCAAAAAATGTGTTATCTTTTATTACTTTTCATCCTGCGCACAAAAAAATAAATAAATAGTAATCTTCAGCTGATGAGGAATCCTTAACATCAAATATGGAAACACTTCCCGACTCTCAGATAATTTTTCCTGAATTTCTGTTATTCCGCTTTTTAAACCTGTCATTCGAGCACATAAAAGTAGTCTCAGAAAATGTTTAGAAAATTCATCGACATTTGTCCAGATTCTAGAAAATTGGGGCTTCTTCGATTGCTGAACCACTTCAGTAATGCTTCTTCAACATCCTTGTGATTTGCTTTTCTCAACTTTTTTCTGCCATTTTTTTCATGAGCAGAAATTGTTAATTGTTAATCCATATGTTACAAACTGTAGATTTGGATAGTTTATATTCTCTGCAAATACCAGCTTGATTACATCCATTTTCTTTTTTTCTGATTGTGCCCAATTTATCATCAATGGAGAATATTTTACATTTACTGCTCCCCATAGTTAAGTTTGAGACACTTGTTTGCCGGCTTTTTTTTAAAAACTGAACTGAGAGCAAAAAGGAGTTGAAATGAGGGCCTTATTAACACATATTAGTGTCCAACCCTTCGACCAATACTGAATAATTACTCATTCCCTCTGACAAAAAATGCATATTGATCCCACTGACAACTTACAGGTGCATCATCTGCCTGGGTAGGAATCATCTACTTGATCTGTTTAGGGATGGGAAAGTTAGATAAAAGAAAACAAGAATAAATGCTTACCGCTACCTCCCCCTCTATAGATGGTTTAAAAACTCAGTTTATGCATTTATTTTGAAGTAGAAATTTTAAAATTATCACAAAATGAAGAAAAAATCAGTCGAAGGCAGAAAAAAGTTCCTTATATCCAACTTCACTTTTTTGGTTCACTATATCCACAACAAATAACATTATACCGGTATAGCAAGGCCTCGGACCGAACACTTCGTTCACTATATCAGGGAGTTCACTATAGCGGGGTTTGACTGTATTTACTTAAAACTCAAATACTGCTTTTTTTTAAAACAAAAACATTCGATCAACTTCAGGGCTGCCATTGGATGAAAACAAGAATAATAGTAGCTTTAGTTGCATCATATATGAAAAAAAGTCTCCAAGATATATAAAATAGGTGCCTACATCATATCCTCCTCCAACATAATTTTAATTATTTGTGCTATAAAAGTACAAAATTCAAATATTATGCAGTTAGATACTCATATTCTATAAAAAAATGTACGTTTATTTGTGGATTTACCAACAATATATAGAATGCTGAAGGAACTGCTGTAGAAAACTTCCAAAATTTTTGAACATTAAAAAAAATCTATTTTTAGTTTTATTCTTTATGAGGCATAAGGCTTCAGATATCATAAGAAACAATAGTTGTAATTAAAAAAAAAGCTAGAGACTAAAGATTTTAGGCATTATAAAAAATGAAGTAGATATCACCTTTACTTTCATATATAAATTTTTTTAACCTTACTATAAAATAAAAATTTAGTGTAAAATAAACAAAATCTGCATTCTAAAAGTACTTAAATAATTTTCAACAATAATATGAAAGGAAAATTATTATATAGGTACAAATAAATTAAAATTAAGAATTTTATGATTGAAAATGAAGTGGGAAAAAACACACAATGTTGCATAAAATGTAAAATTTTATTTTCTTAACATTTACTTGGGGTTTTTAGTATAGATATCAATTAAATTTGTTTTCCTTTTATGAACAAGTTCATTAATTCTAACCGATTCAATTTCATGTTCTCTCTCTGTTACTCATAATTTTTCAGCAGCTTCATGAGTTAAACATGAATTGGCAAGCAGACACAGAAGCTGACGTACTAATAAGAATTCATGTTCTACCATGTTCTGCTCCTAACACCCCCATTCAAAATGAATGAATTGAAAAACAAGTACAGTTGCAATACTTGACCTTGAGTCATTATTTCACTTTGTTGGCTATCACTATGCATTTTAAAAGAAGAATAGCAGAAATGAGAGGATTTANAAAAAAAAAAAAAAAAAAAAAAAAAAAAAAAAAGGATGTAACAGGGGGGGAGGAAGAGTGCAGAAATAATAGAAAAAGAAAGGAAAATATGACGTCTGCGGTCCCTGCAAACTTCAGCATTCCAAATCGAACCGAACATCAAAACAAACCGATCCAAAATTGTAATTACTTGTGGACCCTTATTCTGTCACACTACGCATAAAAACAACGAGTTTTATTTTTATCTGCTACAGAACAGGTGAATTTGAAACTCGAATTTCCTTTCTCGGCTCTAATTTGCAGCTGCTTAGTTTAGACATTTGAAGAAAGGAAATAGAAATATTGCAACTTAATTCATATATCAAGTTTTTATTTTGTTTACTTTTCCTAACTGAAGCATTTCCAAATTTAAAGCTTATTAAAAAAATTACGATCAGAAATCGACAAAACGAATATCACCATTACCTTTTTTCCATTGTAAATAGTTCTAAAAAAATTAACTACCCATTTTGTGTAATTAAAGACAATTATTTTTTTTATTTTGCTACTTCGTCCAAATTAAAAGAGGAGGGAAAAAACGTAATCCTCAGAGATATTACATGAGCAGGAGGACTATTCATGCAGTGTGAATTCCATTAGTCTGATTGGTTAAACATGTCTGTCTTGCTTTTGACATTGCAGTGAGGAAGAATAAAGTTTAGATAAAACGGAAACGCGCGGGGGAAAAAAAAGAGGGGAAAGAGGGAAACTCAAGTTATTCTTAATTTTAGTCGCTAATTGGCTTAAAAAAGTCGCTAATTTTACGCAACTCATTGCAAATTAGTTGTTTTTACTCATATTTCTACTATAATAGACGCCCTAGTTGCTATTGCTTGAAAATAGTTGCTTTAGTAGCCTTTTTAGTCGCCAATGGCAGCCCTGAACTTTTTTACAACTGCACATTTTTCATATTTAATGAGTCAAGAGAACAGAAAAGAGCAAAAAAAAAAAATAGTCATAGGACCACAAATCAGGGGTCTGTCGATATTTTGTGAAAGGTCCGCTTTTCGTGAAATTGTGAAAAAATACCTCACATTCTCTCAATCAGGGTCCGCTCTTATGAATTTGTGCAAATAGGGTCCGTTATTGCAAAAAAAAACTTTCTCAAGGTGTTTTTAAATTGTAAAGACATACAAGATTATGCTCAACACTGTAAAATTATAATTAAAAAAATTCAATTTTAAAAAATAAACAACAATTTCTGTTTCTAAATTAGAGATGCAACATACAAATATTTGGTATTTAGCCTATACTGCTGAACGCAGAATATTCATTTCGGACGAATAATGGAAGAATCGTCTGCGAAGACAAAACTTAAGATCATTTACATCCATCTTTCATGTTTCCCCCCCTAGGATGGGTTTATTCGATTAGCAAAACAATAATGAAGACAAACAAATTTGTGAAGGGTCCCATTAAAAGAAAAATCATTTTGAGAAGGGCCCGCTTTTAAGTTAAAATATTTTGTGAAGGGTCCGTTTTTATGAAAATATATTTTGTGAAGGGCTCATTAACGGACCCAAATTTCTCCTAAACAGACCCCTGTGTAAATCAGGGATGAGAGCAGGCAGAAAGTAAAAAAGAGGAAATCCAAGAATATATATATAAACAAAAATTTGACAAAAAAAGTGCGATTTTTAAACTTGTAAGCCATGTGATTATAAATCCCTATATGAGGCTTTTAAATCACGTGAATATGAAACTCAACATCGAATTTAAAAAATGCGAAAATACAAATCATGATGCGTAATTTTTAGATCAAGATACATAATTTTAAAATCGCGCGATATTACAACCACAAAAACGAAACACGACATTGGATTTTAAGCTTGCGTAGCTACATAGGGTTTTAAAAGCTCGTAAATACAAATCGGGATATTGGATTTTTAAATCTCGCAAATAAGAATCGCAATGTACAATATTTAAATGGCCTGAATAAGAATCGTAACGTCCAACTGTTAAACCAGGTAAATAAGAAAATCGATGCTTGATAATAAATTCGCGATTTTAAAAATGCAAAAATACAAAACACGATATTGGATTTTTAAATCTCGTAAATATGAGTCATAATGTACGATATTTAAAAAGCGTAAATAAGAATTGCAATGCGCAACTTTTAAATCAGGTAAATACGAAAATCGATGATTGATATTAAAATCGCGTGAATAAAAATAGAGATATTTGCAGAGTCTGGACTTGAGATTTCTAAAAGGCTTGTTTGAATTGTTTTTTGTTTACACAATAAATAAAAATTTACAAGATTATTTGAATGAGCAAAGAAATATTTTCACCACAAATCTACCTCTATTTTTTTTTGCCTTCACTCCAGAATACAAGAAACATTGACGTCTAAATTACGAAAATACGAGCTATCCCGCCGACGGATAAAAAATACGGAAAATCTTATTATCTGTCAGTGAAATCGGAGAAAATAGCTAATATAAGTAAACATGAGGATGGGTTAGCAGCTAGGACGTAGTTTGAATTTTCTGTTTTTCTTTGAAAATCGTAAATAAATATAATTATTGGACTTCAACGACCGAATTTTTTTTTTTTTTTTTTTTAAAAAACGAAACTTTTAGAGAATCTGAGTTTTTGATAAAAAGGCTGAAATTCGAGAGACAAAGGCGAAAAAAATCTCATCCCTGTATAAAGGTCAACCAGTTTTATCCGAAGGAAATGATTTTTAGAGAAACTTCAGAGGGAGGAATGAGGACTTAAATAATTTCGCTCCGCGGAAAATTAAATTCCTCATAAAATATTTTAACTTGTGAAGAAAAAAATTTCAGCGGAAATTAGCGGGAAAAATGGAAAAAGCTGAGAAAAAGCGGAAATCCGCGGAAGAATCTCATCCCTGGTAAATACACGAGTTATAAATTTAAACTAAATCAATATATAAAACACAAATTTTACTTTAATAAAAAATTTATAGAAAGGTATGAACGCAGACCGACTGCGTCAATACTAAGTCCCATGCAATTGCATGGGACTTAGTATCGCTTTATACAATATAAGGGAGAGATCATAGTATTGGAATTGACAAATTTTAAGACTTCTTATAACATTAGCTTAAAAATTACTTAAATGTTTACAACATAGACATGTATAGTAGCGCGCAATAAAGAATTAGATACACGTATAAAGAAAGTGGAATTCTTGTATTTACGATCTAAGTTTTAGTTAATTTCCTATAGTGAAGGCGCAGTTTAAAAAAGGTCATAAAATATATAGCAAATACATTATATCCAATAAGGAAGCATTTCGGGCCTTGATAAGTGACTAATAATATTTCTTACTACAAAAAAAAAAATATATATATAACATTTCATTAAGAGTCAAAAGAAATTATCTTGCCACTTTTCACCAGGGTTCATACAGAGATCTGAAGAAGAAATCCAAGGAGTCCAAAATTTTAAGGACTTATCAAAAATTTAAAAACATTGTGTAAAAGATAACTAGACAGTTTTTTTTTTAATTAAAAAGCAGTTATTATAAGGAACTCTCAAAAATTTATAAAATTTTGCATAAAATTATAAAATTTTTGCATAAATTATAAAACATTTGCATTTTTTTTCTAGCCCTTTTGAAATATATTTTGACTTTGTCTAACTTCATCAAGAAAAATAAAGTTATCACTTTTACACATAAATACACTTTCCAGTTTCAAATATTTTAATAAATCTTATTAAGGAACAGATGTTAAAGATTAACATAAAAACTTACCAATCTTATATTTTTAATTTAAATACATAAGAAAATCTAAGGCATAGTATACAAAAAAAATTCACAGTAAATTATTTGCTGTTTTTTTTTTTTTTTTTTTTTTTTTTTNTTTTTTTTCTTTTTAAGTTTTTCTTAAACTATTAGATTTTTAGCAGCTAAGTCATCTGTGCAACACAATAATCTAAGGAGTTTCTAAGGACTAACTTGGAAACCTAAGTAGTTCCAAGTACTCCTTGGAGACTTATTTCCAAGGAGTATAAGGAACGAACCCTGCCTTTTCACTGGCACTTAGCTCATGTAAACAGGAAACAGATCTGTCAATTTCTCAAAATCTTTATCTATTAGAAACTATTAAAACTTAGAAACTATCAAAATCTACGAAGTTAGTGTCAAAATGCAAGAAAGTTTAGACAAAATGGAAATAAAGCATATCATAAAACTCTCTCTCTCTCTCATTGTTCATTTGTTCAAAAAATTGATTACAGTTAAAATACAAAAAGCAATTACTGGACAATTGAAAACCCTTTAACATATTAAAATTGAAAGAACACATGTACCTCAGCAGTTAAATATTCAAGAATGGCTGCACTGTATACTGCTGCTGTAGCCCCTACTCTTCCATGACTAGTCGTTCGATGCTTCAGATGACGATGAATACGACCAACAGGAAACTAAATAAGTAAAAAAGCACACATCAATACAAATAAAAGCCAGCAAATAAAATAGCAAAATGGAACGAAAAAGTGGTTTAAACCAGTTTTTTTTTAAAAAGCCTATTTGAAAAAGCATTATTGATTTAATTTTCTTTTATTCATAAAAATACTTGGTTAAATATATAAAAATAAAAAATGGTAAATTTTTCTAAAATCTTTTAAATCAATAACTAATATTAGTCTGCATCACTGCACATAAACATTTGCAAGTAGTTTTTAAATGTATTATATGTGCACCTGTAAAAAAATATATTAATTACTGTAAGAAAATTTCAAGTAATAGAAATTGTCTCAAATAAAACAGTCCAATTATTTCATGTTTGGATAGTTTTTAATGTCAACTTAAAGGCAAATTTGAAAATAAACTTCCCTCTTATTCCTGAGGGTGCAAATGATTAAACTACCTTTTACCATTCACTGAACAATCTCATCGCAAATTATAATAACATCAATTTATTCAAACTTTAGATTTTGATCCTATAATTTATATACCACAAAAAGATATTTCTATATAACTTTTATAACAGATTTTACCAATAAGATGTATTTATTCATTACAACACAGTGTTGGCAAGTTTTTGACACATGACGGTTTTCACCATGGTTTTTAAGGTCATGTCAAAAACCCATAGTTTTGGTATAACTGTATTTTTATTTGAGTTTAACTGCTTATAATTTAAAATTAATTCATTCTTGGACAATAAAATTAGACAAAAAGTTGTTAAAAGATATTTAAGAACAGATTCTTGCATTTTCCCAACATAATCATTTCAAAACATACTATTTGAAGTAAAATATTAAGATACTAATGTCTTGCCCATCCATTGAAAGAATCTTCTCGAATTTTGGACTCATTCATACTAAACGCAGAAATCGACTGGGCAATGAAAAATGCGCAAAATAGTCACTGGCTATCGTATGCTTCGGCACAGTGACTGAACATGTAATTTTGTTTGTAATTTAATTAAGTTTTGTTTAATGTGCTTTTCAACTGAATAAAAGCTTTTAACTTGGCAAAATAGCAGTAATTCTTGACTTAGAGTTTGTTAGTAGTTACAAGTTTTGAAAGTTTTGTTTAGCTTATTTCTAATATTTAAGAAATGCCAAATTTTAAATTCTTTTTAATTCTTGAATTTACTAATAGTACCAAGTTTTTTTGTTTGTTTATTTCTAACAATTAAGAAGTGCAAGTGCAAAATTTTGAATCTTTTGCAAATCAAGCTATAATGATAAAAGCAAGTATCACTATTTTCAATAAGTATATTACAATATTACTGTATGAATGTACATCCTTCTATAAGAATACATGTATGTAATTGCAAAATCAATAGCAATCAATTACAAGGCAATTATGTGAAAATAATATATTGTCCGCTATATGCCCTAAATTAAAGAAAACAGGAGGTTTTTGACGATTTTTATCGGTAAAAACGCACTTTATACCACTGTCATGACAAAAACACAACCCTGTTACGTCTTAATATTATCCTTTTTCGGTTCTCATATCACACTTTAGAATTTGATCATTACTCAAAATTAAGATTAAAAGCTAAAAGTACATAATAGATCCTGCTTACATCAATCAAAACCAGTTAAAGTTTACAGGTTCATTTTAGAACAAATTGACAAACTCATTGTTAAAAAAATAAAATTAAAATAAAAAAAAGCATGTTGATGGTACAATACCAAAAAATACAGGCACATTAAGAAGCAGAGATAAATTTGATAAAAAAGAAGAGATCCAGCAACAATTAAATTATCTTCACTACAGATAAACGACACTTAAATTTATTTTTTTAAATTCATCCATATATTTTACTCTATTAAATTTCATTAAAAATACACCATATAATGTACAAATAAAATTATATTACTTTTATTAGTGAATTCGATAAATTTTCCTGCCATTTTCAAAAACAAAAAAAAATTTTTTTCCTCATAAGATTCTAGGATTTTTTTTTCTATTTTGAAAGATGTTTACCTTACCATCATTTTGGATATATTTTGGATCATTAGTGGATTACTTCATTGTTTTTTCATCTTTTTCAGATTATTTCCATTTTTTTTTTAGTTGGGTTTAACAATAAAAAAAACTACCTTTAGTAGCGATTCAGAAAACCGGAAAAATCAGTTATCTGAAATAGCGATGGTCCCGATCGTTCCGGATAATCGGTTCTCTACTGTAATTCTAAAAGAATATAACAATTATTCTTTGGTAAATATACACTTCTACCTATTATTTTTTAATAAAACATGCTATTACATTAATTTAATTAACATGAAACAGTTTTGATGTTAACAAATGTGAGATATTTATTAAAATTTAAGAGCGTACACTGTTTTAATTAGAAAGTTTTTCGCTAGTTTACTGCTAATAATTTCAACGAGGTTCAAAAAGTAGCGTTATTCCTTAATGCAATGTTTAATTGTAACATGTGAATTTTGGCCATGCATTTGTGTACTAAGCTTGTTTCGTGATTCAAACAAATTTTACATTGCCTTGTCTGTAAACAGCTATTGGCTAAAGATTTCTAAGTAGTTTTTAAAATCTTTAAATTTTTACTAGATTTTATTAAGCTTCCATACTGAGAAATTTATTTTAGAATAAACTATTTAGTACAGTTGATAATAGAACATCTGATCACTTCACAATTGTCCTTGGTTTCTTCACAATTGTTATGTAATCACAGCATGCAGAAATTTCCAAATATATAACTTTTTGACACAGTCAACACACGCTTATTTGTATTACAAGCTCTCCAGTCAAACATTGTTTCAGAAATTACCTTATTGATTTCTACAGTTTATAAAACTTAGTTCGAGTCAATTTCATTAGATGAATTCAATATAAATATATGAGTTTACAACTTCAAACAGCCCATTATATATCTTATTACTAGTCAATTTCATTAGATGAATTCAATATAAATATATGAGTTTACAACTTCAAAGAGCCCATTATATATCTTACTACTTTCATTCGTGATAATTTCAACCTTTTCCACATGGCCTTCTTTAAAGATTTTTCAAAAATTACTGCTATAACTATGGAGTTTCTAAAATCCCAAAATACATCTACTTTAAATCCATGTAGGTTATTTGACAATCAACCTGTGCGGAGTCTCTCTTAAATGCAGTCTAATCTAGTTTCTCCAAACAAGACAGTGTTCTGCATTTTATCATTTTAGGAAGCAAGGAAAGTGTTAAAAACTGCAGAGAATTGCTCGGGGTGACTAAGAGTTATACCCTCCAAATTACTGCATAGAAATGGCCAAGACTAAAATTCTGTGGCAAACCAAAAACCATCTGATTATTGAAAAAAATTTATATATTTCAATCCGAAATATATCAGCACACAATGTAAGTTACTGATTACTAAGAAAACTATTAAAAAAACTCTTTTAAGTTTCAAGCAGTATATTTTATGATTAAGCCAAAATAACTTAATACATAAAACTCACAACCTTTTATCCTAAATTAAAACTATTATTACAAAATTAAAATTCATTAAAACTAGCAAAATAATAGGCCAGCTTTTTTTCAATAGAAAAATAAAATATTCAATAATTAATACATAATTTATTACTTTAAATATCGATTAAAATGCTTGAACATGAAAAAACAACAAGTAATTACTGTGGTTAATTCATGATTTATGTTTAATAATTCATGTATTAAACAAAAGTAAACACATTAAATATTTAGATTGTTTATATTTATAGTAAGAAATGGCTTTGGCGCCAACTTAAGAATAATAACCACATGGCAATCTTGAGCTATAAAACAATTACCAGAACGAAAAACACATTTTAATAACAAAATATAAGAAGCTTGAGATATTTGTTATGAGTACACAAGAGGAAATAAAAAATTAATTACTGGCGAACTATATTATTACTTACTTGTAAGCCCGCTCTGGCTGAACGTGATACAGCTTTGGCTTTAGATTTTCCAGAATCTTTTCCTGCCTTTCCACCAGCCTAAATTTAAGAATTAAATCATTAAAAGTTCACAATACGTTAAAAATTATGAATTAGATTAGAAATTAACTTACCATGATGATTTATTCGAAATGTAAAAATTTCTATAATTAGAAAACTAGCGAACAAATACTGATTTCCGCTTATACAACAGCGTAAATGCAGCGGCGGGAAAAAAGAAGGTTAAATACTTATTGCTGATTGGTCCCTTTCAACCAATGCTCTAGTTTGGATATTGCCAGTTGATTTTAGAAAATATAAAAAATATTTGTGTGTCATATGCGCTGCTTACATGCCATGCATCATTTGCATCATTAAAGTTTTGACCACTAAATTGGCAGCATGCTTATGACATGTGATATCTTGTTTTTGTTTGTTTACGTTTTGCTAAAAAATTTTAGAAATATCTACCTAACCCAATAAAATATTGAAATCTAGATATGATCCACAGATATATTTAGCAGAAAACTTTCTTCAAATTCAATATTAGTAACTGTGCAAATGTTTGCGTAGTTATGAAATCCATACTGTTGTTCTATTTGTCAATAACAATCTGCTTAAAATTTACCGGAGGTTAGTTAATGCAAATAAATGCACTGAATGTGTTAAATAATTCTGAACTTGTTTAAATCTGATTATTTAATACTTATTATATTTTATAGGAGCTTCTACTGCAGTCTTACTAGTTACTAATAACGGTCCCTCATACCTTGGTGCCAATGTTACATTCTCAGCAGTGTTGCTAGACTATTCATCTGATAAAACTTTAACGTTTGTGTTTGATGATGGAATAATTGATCCTGAAGAACATCAAACTAAAGATCACAATGTTACTATCAGTAGAGCTTTTCCAGAATCCATTTACGATGAAGGGACATATGATATGAATGTAACAGTTTTATATACATTTCTTTGGGAAAGAACTTTAGTATCCAATCTTACAAACTTTCAACTGCAAAGTAAGGTTATAAAATTATATATCTGAGATCTAACCGACATGTGCAACTTTTTTTTATGATGCAAGAAATCCTTTATCAGTTCTAATATTATAAATAATACTTCAGTGATGCATATAAAAGTAACTGTGCTTTTTAAAAGAAGTTATAATTTACAGTCAGTTATAGCAATTTTATTGCTGGGTAACTAATTAAAATTCTGCCCCTTCAAACTGTAATTTGAAATGGAATATTATATCATAACAATACAATGCCTTATGAGACAATGCAATGCAAAAAGAAATAACTGATTATTAATTGATGAACTATTCTTAAAACTAAGACTTGCAAGTCTAGGAAAGACAGATTATATTGATGCCCTTTACTCTATACCTAGAGGGAAATTTCTATAGGTTTTCTACAATATCAGGTTTTTCATCGTGAATTTTTAGTTTAAATATAAAATTTTATTGAAATTTTATGCCTTTTTTATCATTGTTTCACAGTGGCAGTCATGCATCAATGTATGTGGCCATTACTCTTGAGTAAGTTCACAGCGTAAGCATAATAGCCTTTCAGTAGGCATTCAGGACTTCTTGGGGAGCATTGGGACTATTATTTTGATAATGTGAAAAAACTAGAAGAAAATTTTCGAACATGGAGTTTAATTTAAAATTAATAATTCTATTTTGCATCAAGCCAATTTTATACTTACCAATTTATAATGGAAGTAACACTTTGCTCTCTGTACTTCACAAAAGAATTTTTAAACCAGTGAGGTTGAGGTGATTTTCTTTAGCTTTTCAAAATCCAGATTATTCTTTTTGAATTTTTAACAGATTAGTTTGATATTTTTTTATTATCTATGGTTATAATGTTACAATAATTTGACATATTTTAAAATAATTTATTTTCAAAGTTATTTTATGCACTGTTTAAGAGTTTGCTACGAATAATTATATTTTGCAGGAGATCTACTTTTATAAAAAAAAATTGCTGAAGAGAGTTCAGATTTAAAATCATTGATCAATGGAAATTTGTAACAAATTAAGAGTGTGATGTGTACCACATCAAGGAAAGTAAAAAATAAAATTTAAATTGGTTAATAAAGGTTTGTTAAAAAAATTGTTTTTTTTTAAAGGGACGTTGAAAAATATTTTACTTGCAATTGTAGGCACCAAACCAAAAAAGATTGGGTACCTAATAGCAATGCCGGATTAAGCGTATGCGGGACCCTAGGCCTTTCAAATTATTTTTTTCATATATTTTTTATTTATTCAAATATAAAAGTCTTTATATATCTTTTCATTTAAGAAAGTATATTTGAAATAAAAATAAATAATAATAAATTAAATTTCACTTCATTTTGTTAAATTAGAACTAAGAAATTATCATAACATTTTGAAAAAATTTTAAATTTATTAACACTTTACAAAATCAACGCTACTATAAAAATGGTATTCATCTGCTCTTGCGATTAATAAACTCATTGATAATGTTATCAAAATTAATTTCACTGAGAACATCTGATTCAATAAACATCAAACTTTGTGTGTCTAATCGTTTTTGAAACATGACGCTTCTTTGCTCACTCTTAAGTCATTTCATTTTTGAAAACTCGCATTTGCATTTGTTTTGCACTAGTCGTTGCATTTGTTTTTGTTATAAGAGTTAATCAATTGCTTGCAGAATATTCTTTAATTAAGATTTTGTGTTTGCAGAAAGTTTTTAATTTTTAAGTCTGCCGATACATATAGAATATGAGTAACCCATTCTAGTAGTACTAAATGCAAACAATATTACGAACCAGGGTTGGAGTTTTACCAGAAAAAATCAATCTTTGCAAAGAGTGGAAAAACCAGGTATAAGTGGAAAAAATGGTGTCTCAAATTTACATGACATATATTCTCGCGTTCTCGCGCTGTAGTGAAAACACTGGAACCAGTGAGTAAATAAATTATAAATGCTAGAGTTTGAGTTTGTTTTATTTTTAAGAAACCTTTAATCATGAGGTTTGAAGCAAATTTTGAATTCTTTCAAGAATGGATAAAAACTAAAACAATATGAAAACTGCAACTTTATTGTAATAAACTGAAACTAACCTTTTTAAAATAGTACGCAAAAGTGTTTATATATTTTAAGTAAGATTATATATGTATATTTTTTTTTCACTATAGAGGATCTAATTGGAGAGATTGTAGTTCAGCATGGAGATGACTATACAGCTCTTGATCTAGATGAAGTTGCAGTTGGCAGCAATGTTAGCTTTGCAGTCAATATCTATAATCCTGGGAACTATTTGAATGATGCTGTTTTCAGTTATGGTTGGAGTGTAGATTGGGAACGTCATCAAACCTCTGATAATTTACTGATATATAAATTCAAAGATCGTGGGTTGAAAGACATAAAATCTATTGTTACTGCAGCTTTACCAAACAATGTCTTCTTGAGTGGTTCGTTTGATAAAATTGTAAATGCAAAAGGTAAGTTCTGTTCAACAGTTTTTGAAGTTATTTATACTTTTCTTATTAATCACATATTACGAGTTATAAAATAGTCTATTATTTGAATACTGTTATACATACAGAAAGTGTTCTGTTTTGAAAATAATATTAATAATTATTCTTAGCAATGAATTCGTAACAGCAATTGGTTTTTATGAGCTGCAGTGTCTTAATGATTAAGGCTTCACTCCCCTGTGGCAGCCTGAAGCCCACTCAACTTCAGATCCATGGGTACTGTGTACCAGCTAGTTGGAAAAGTTAAGACGGTCTATGCACATTGCTGACCGGTTGCCAGAACCTTGCCATTGGTATTGCAATGGTGGAGCTTTAACCCTCTTGAACCTCCTGGCCCACAACAGGCTATAGCAGGAATGCTTTGATTTTTAAGGGTTTAATAGTGACGTATCCTGGGACTGGCAAACTTTTCCCTTCTCAACAGGGATGCCTTTATCCTCACTTACTTTCTGTTAGGAAAAAAAATAATTTGATATTTGAGAAAAAAATTTGAAATTTTTTTCTAATTTAATAATATCTTTTTAGACATATTGTTTCTTAATATTTTAAAATAGTCTAAATTATTGAATTTCTTACGTTTCAATTAAAATTATAATCCATAATTTATTCATTTGTATATAATGTATTTAGAAAGTTGAATAATTCCAAATCAAACTTATTAATTATTTATATGCCACACAGCGCCCTCAAGAAGTTGTGACCATCGCCCTCCCGTCTATACCTGTTTGTTTTTGATTGCTTTCACTCTTAACTACAACAGTAGCAGAAAATTGTTTTATAAAAGTGTATTTTTTCTTAACACTGTCATGTCAATTTTATTCTGCTGTCTTTTTTTCGACCTATTTTCTTAAACTTGTTTTAGTAAACTGAATCCATCAAAGAAACATTAAGTGATTTCATAGATATTCCCTGTCAGTATATCATTGATTAAAATCCAATGCCTGGAATAAAAAAATTTGGTCACAATATTTATCACTTTATTAGTTTTACCATTTAATGTTTTATATGTATATATTTATTGTATATTTATTACACTCAGAATACATTTGTGTAAAAATGTCTGTTAATATTGAACATTTTGTGAAATATTCTTTATATTATATCGCAAATTAATATGATTCTTTGTGTATGGTAATAAACTACACTGAAGAGCCAAAAAAACTGGTATACCTGCCTAATATCGTGTAGGAACCCCGCGAGCACGCAGAAGTGCCGCAACACGACGTGGCATGGATTCGATCAATGTGTGAAGTAGTACTGGATATAATTGACCCCATGAATCCTGCAGGGCTGTCCATAAACCAGTGGGAGTAAGGATATCTTCTGAACATCACGTTGCAAGGCATCCCAAATGTGTTCAATAATGTTTATGTCTGAGGATTTTGGTGGCCAGAGGCACTCTTCTGAAGTTAGACACTTCCGCTGGCCATAAAATCCCCAGATATGAACATTATTGGGCATATTTGGGATGCCTTGCAACGTGATGTTCAGAAGATATCCTTACTCCCACTGGTTTATGGACAGCCCTGCAGGATTCATGGGGTCAATTATATCCAGTACTACTTCACACATTGATCGAATCCATGCCACGTTGTGTTGCGGCACTTCTGCGTCCTCGCGGGGTCCCTACACAATATTAGGCAGGTATACCGGTTTTTTTGGCTCTTCAGTGTAAATATCTTGATTCAGAAAGATAACAAATTCTTTGAATCAATACTTTTTTTTCTGCAATAAATTGATTTTATTGAGTCAGTCATTAATTACAATGTCTAAATTTGATACTTAAGAAATAAAAAAAATTTTATGAAAAAAGGAATTTACTGCTCCAGACTCACTCAAATTTAATTTGGGAGAAAAAAAAATGTGATTAAAATATAATAATTTTAGTTTCGATGACATGTTATTTTATCAGACTTTAGCTGTATCTTTGTTAGCAAATCACTAAATTTAGTTTTATATTATTATAAATATTAACTTTTTGGCCAAACATATTAACCTTTTGCTTAAGGCTGTTACAGCATGTGGATCCAGAGCCGGATTACATCTTTCGTAGGCCCTAGGCATAGCCGTTTTTGGGCCCTCCCCTCCTTCCCCCACTCCTCCCCTTTTTTGAAAATATATGCTAAAATTTTCCTGCATATTTTTTTTAACATTTTTATTAATATGGATTTTAATTTACAAATTTGTTTATCGAACTTTATCTGCAATACCGACATACTGCCAATATTGCAGTTAATATCGATAATACCATTATGATTATACCAACATAAATCTGCACAAGAAATGTTGAAGGCTCAAATTAAAGATAAACTTGTGAACACTTTTCCTAACGTTCACATTGCATTAAGAATATATTTGTCGATTCTTGGATCAAATGCAGAAGGAGAAAGATCTTTCTACAGATTAAAATTGATAAAAAATTATTTGCGTAGTTTGGAATTCGAAGCATAATACAAGATTTCGTTGAATCCAAAAAAGTAATATATTAGATCATAAGATTCTGCAAAATAATTTATTACCGAAAAATATTATATTTTTATTTGTATCTTCATAATTTTGTGCAAAATACACTTGTTGTTTTTAAAGCTAAATTAATTTTGTCAAAAAAAATTTTTCTCCCAAGTTTTTCGTAGGCCCCTGAATTTCGTAGGTCCTAGGCACGTGTCTAGTGTGCCTATAAGTTAATCCGGCCCTGTGTGGACCACAAGTGATAGTTCCATATGGTATACCCTAACCAAAGGTTTAATTATTTCACGTCATAGGCATCAATAACTTATTTAATAAATTATATTAAATACACATAATATGCTCTTATCTTAGGAAAAATAGAGAGGCATATTGTTTTTATTATATATTTATTGTTATTGTTTTTAATTCATTTAAGAACTTCCAACATTCAAATTTTGCAATGCTTGTGATCTTTAGTGGAATATTGAAAGAGTTCATCTTTTTAATTTGTAAAAATTTAAGCATTGTACTACTTTCTGAATGTATTATAAAAACCTATTCAAGCAAAATATTATTATAAATAAACAAAATATAAATTTACTTTTTTAATACCATTTTCATTTGATTTTTTTTTTTTTTTTTCGTTTTTAAAGAAATTTAGCAATTTTATGCAAATTATTTTTAAAAAATATTTCAAATTTATTATTTTGTGTATTCGAAATGCTCATACTAAAACTACATTTTTTATTGTTAAATTTATTTCATTAGTTACTAAAAACCCTAATATTAGTTTTATTTATTTTACTAGTACCAGTGGATAACCTGAATGTGACTGGCAATTTTTTCATGCATCATGGTGAAACACTGAATCTCAACATAAATTGCAGTGGAACGTAAGAAGATAATCCAATTTTATTTATTATTTATTTATTTATTTGATGAAAAAGGGCCAATCTAGGCTTTGATGGAAAAAAATGGGTTTTTTGCTCTCATTTTCTTTCCTGTTGTCCTCAAAGTGCATTTAGTGTATCTAAATGTGTACATGTCATCAACTTATAAAATTCTCTTTTTTTCTTCTCTACTTAGTGTTTCTATTTTTGATACTAAAATATCTTTTCAGCTCTAATTTAATTTAACTATGAAGATCATATTTCATTGAAAAAAAGTAGTTATTGCTATTTGAAAATTTTAAAATCCTTTCACTATAGCCATAACTATGTGGGCTAGATAATTTTTTATAACCTTATTTTATAGCTAAAACCGTAAGATGCCATAATACAAAATTTGCTTGTTTTATTAAGTGGTATGCTTGATGACTGGGCATCTTGGCAAAATTATTTTTATATCATCTTCTATATTCCAGTTTGTCTTTTAAATCACTTATGTATTGCTATAATTTATTATTGCTATATTTGTTATTGTACTATTTATTTATCATACATTATACGAGAGGCAAGTGAAATGAAATCAGAGCTGCCACTTCAAAACTATAATGAAATTTGTTTTGTTCAAAAGTAATTGCCAAAAATGTTAATACATGCATCTCACAATAAGACGAGATCAATTCCAGTTTTGGTGGATTGCTGATAGATCCACAATCTCCCCCACTCTTTAGCTTCATTGTCCAAATGAAACCAGTGTTCAGGAATGTCTTTTGCCAAAATAAGAAAGCAATTAGAGGCAGTGTTGGCGTGATTTAAATCGCTTGATTTTATTTAAAAAAATAATTAATTTAAATCAACTGTTATTTTTTTTTTAAAAAATAAAATCATTGACTGATCACCAATTGATTTTTCTGACTTTTGATCGCTGATAGATTGTTTGGAAAGTTGGCATCTCTACACCTGTATCATACTCTACATCTCCAGAACAATAAAGAAACAACAATATAGATGTTTACATAATCTCTATGTTTTTCTTCTACCCTACAGATAGTAATATGGCTTTAGGTATCCCTAATGTAGCAACAGTGTTGCCAAATTTAGGGAAGAATGTATTTAATGTTAGATCTTTGGTTTTCATTTGACTGCCTGTTATGTATTTAAATCTGTATTTGATAATTATTTGCATACTATACTGTTTTTTTAATAAAGATATTTTTTCAGGCCACCATTTATCTACTGTTACAAATTAATGAATGGAAATGATACATCTGATAATTTTACCTGCTCTCATGTCTCCACATTTACTACATGCCACATGGAAATAATTAAATATCTTCAAAAAGATGGAAAATACAACCTGGGTATTTATGTCAGCAACAATGTGAGAGAAATTAAGAAAGTTTATGAAGTAATGGTTTATAGTGGTAAGTGTAGCTATCTTTTATTTTTTATGAATAAAATGTACTTTAAAATGACTAAAGTAAGCAAATAATTGAATTTTTTACTTTTTTAATCTTAAAAAATAATACCTGAATTTCTTTGTTTCAAATTTATATGTTTTTATGAATTTTAATTTTTCTAAACCATGAGAAAAATAAAAACTCCTAGTTAAACTTATAACTTTCAGAGATTTTTTGTGAGCATATTTGTATCCATATTAATTTGTGTTTTTATATTTATCTCTATTGTAAAAGTAATGAATGGAGATAATCCATTTTAACGATGCAGCTGGCAACTTTACCTATACTTTTTTGTAAAATGAGGCATATTGGAGTATACTAAACTATGTTTTCTTGCATACTGTTTTCAAAATTAATCTCTGTTCTATTGTTTAAATCGCACTCTTTTTCTGCTTTTCTGATAAATCTGGTTTACCTATTTTTGCCCTTAACGCCTTTGACTTTAAGATAAATGTTTAACTGTAGTTTTTTTTTTTTTTACCTAACGAGGTTGGGACAATAAAGTATAATTTTACAGCATAATATTAAGTGTGGTCATAAGATATCCAATCACAAGCCATTAAACAAATGATTGTAGAATGGAAAACATGCTTAAAATATTGTTGCTTTCTGATGAAAATGATTCACTGGATAGTTGATGCTAGTTGTCAAAACAATAATAGAAGGTTGATAATGAACATCTGAAAGGAACCTGTAATGAAGATAATTATCAAGGCATAATAAACTTCTTGACAGTGGAGCATGTAAGCAGGGGTGAAGGTGGGCGCAAGAAGCTTGGGGGGGTGGATTTTTACACTAAATAAAACAAATAGTTTTGGGGGGGATTTAGAATTTGCCCAAGAGCTTGGAGGGGATGGGGGCCACTGCATGTAAGAGATTGTGAAATTTATCAGCAAAAGAAAAGAATAAATGCCGAGCCCTTTGTGTATTTGTCAAGAGCTTGGTGGTTTAGCAAGCAGTTGGCCAAAGGCAGCATTTGTGGGTAAAATATGGAGGGTAAGTAATATAGTAGTTCCTTATGTAACTGTTGTAGTACCGCAGTTGTATGGCTTAACTATGGTATGGTTATGGGTCTTGTAATCATCACAGAGACATTGAAATTCTCTTATGCCAAAGCAACAAGCTTTAGAAGCTTATATGGGAAATTCTAAGCTACTAATCCTATAGTCCAGATCTGTCCCACCAGTGTGACTTCCACATCTTTACCAAACTCAGTAATGCTCTGTGGAAAATATGGTTCCAAAGGGATGATGAAATCAAGCAGTACGTCTGTAACTTTTTCACAAAGCGGCCAAAGGATTTTTATGAACCCACACAATTATAGAATAAAGGCCAAAAAAATTGTGGATAGCACGTTTGAGTTAAATGAAATAAATTGTGAAACATCTTTTGTTTTATTATTTATTAACTGTATCTAATTGCTTTTAAAAGAAAAAGAATTATAAAATGAAAACCTTGCTCTATTAAATAAAAAAAAGCACATTTTTTCTAAATTTTTCCTCCAAAAATTTAAACAAATTAATATTAATGTTTTTGACATCAATTTAAATAGCAAATATGATTCAATTTATTGAAATATTCATATCTTTATTTTTATTTCCAGTTTCTGTCACTCCAACACTATCAACAGTTATTATGCCCATTGTATGCAGCTTACTGGCCCTTATCATAATTTGTGGTGGAATCGCTTATTTCATTCAACACAAAAATCAGATGGAAGTAGAAACGGCTAATTTTGATTTCCAGGATGAATCTGATTTATATCCTGAGCAGACATTCTTTGAAAAACTTTTTGATTCCTTATCTTGTAGAAATTGCAAAAGCCCTCAGTTGTCTTGTAGTAGTGCAAGTGAAAATGATCCACTGATATAATAGAATTATCGAAAACTAGATTCTCTATTACCCAAGTTGTATTGTTATCTAACTGTTAAGTACCACCTATAATTGAGTATGACTAGCTGTGGTGATTTTTCTTTCTGAATAACGTTGAATGTTGTGTAATCAACACTGTGATATTTGTAAGAATTTAGTTTTTCATGACCTAGAAATAGAGATTATATTTTATAATGTGAATATATTCCTATCATAACATTTATTTAATTATCTCTAATCCTTGGTGACATTAGATAAATGAGGTTTAATTAAATTTAGGCATAAGAGTAATTATATTACAACCTTTTTTTTTTTTTTATCCTCAAAGAATCTCCTTTAAAGTTGGAAAAAGAAACTTCTCTGGCTCTTTTGAAAGAAGCTTGTGTGAGTTTTGTTTACACTTAGTTATATTATAAGAGATCTATGTTAAAACATTCATATTATTCTTATTATACATATATTCAAAGTCATCCAAATCTTCTATTAATTTGCTAAAGAAAATAGATTTTCTGGTATTTTAAACAATATAGTTTTAAAGTTGAAGTATATAGATAACTAAAATTGTATATAAAAATATTTCTGAAATATGCTAATTTTTCTTGCATTTTAGGTAATGTATTTTAAAGTTAAGGCATATAAATAATTAAAATTCTATACATTTGAATATTTAATGCAATACAATAATTGAATTCTAAAATATGCTGATTTTTCTCGATATTTTAAACATCATATTTAAATATTTAACCCTATACATATACGTAATGAGAATACTTATACATTGCTGAAATATATCAACTATTATATTTTAAACAATACTTTAAAATATAACATCATGTTAAAAGCAAAATTCTTAACATCATGTTAAAATATCTTATAATTGGGAGTATACTTATTTTTTAAGCCGGCTGTTTATCTTCTATTTTAAGGTAAAATATGTCAAGTAAGTAAAATTCCACACATTGTAATTAAATACTTAATATTCAATGCTATATTGGAAAGAATACATATACATGGAATTTTCAAAACAGTTTTCAGTATTTATTTAGCCTTATATTTTCATAATGAAAAGCACAATCTGATCTATTTTTCTCTAAACTTTTTATTTATACTTACTTCATATAGTTGTTATTTCTTTCATCATAACTTTTATTTTTCATTAATGTTACCTATTGTATTTTGTATGTGATTTGGGTCTAATTTATAAGAATATAATTCCAAGCCAAATTAGGATTTTCAAAAACCAATTATCTTTTTTTTTTTCAAGTTGTGTTTATTTACAAAAATCATCTATTTAAGATAAAGAAACAATTTTAATATCTTTTACTGTGCTCATTGGATAAGTCAAATGAACACTATAAAATTATATGTTTGGTTTGTCGGAAAATACGATAGGTTATTTAAAATTCTGAAGTGATTTGTGGGGATCTCTAGAACAGGGAGACACCAGGCACATGCCTTATCTTGTGTAAATCAGGCTCTGAATGTGACGTTCTTTAGGAGGGAAAAAAATTAGTTTCTTTTTTTCCAAATAATTGTAAAAATATAAACTTAATATGTTATATAATAACATATAAAAAAATGTGTATCTATTGAATGTATTATTTAAAAAAAATTTTACTTTTTGTGTTTGTTTAAAGAAAGGTGAAATTTATTATAAATTGTATGATATTTAAACTTTGCTTTTTTTATTTCTCAACTGTTTAGTTGCATTTTTGTCCAATTTTTAAATATTCTATGTTCGTTCATTTAGTTTCTGAAACTTATGTTGTTAAAAAAAATCTTTGAGCATTGATTTATGTAATTTACATTATCCTCCGAAATTGGATGTTATAAAGATATTAAGGAAAAAATTTTCAATACAAGCATAGAAGATACAATGGATTTAAATTGTAAATGTAGGAAATTTTAAGATACAGAAGTTTTTGAGGTAGACAAGTTTGGCTGTATTCATAATTTTAGTTCAGGTTTAGCTGTGCACACAATTTTAGTTATGCATTTATTTGAGGCTTTCTGAATAGTATTTTTTTAACCACCACCTGAGTAAAGTTTTTATTTTAAATGTATGCTTAAATTTAGCAACTTCTTTTTTCATAAAGTTAATGTTAAAATTTCTTCAATATTTGTTATGCCTCGTTATATAACGATCTGATGTATTTTTCGTTCTTGAAATTTTTTTACTTTTAAGAAGTGCTCCAAATTTTATATCAATTATTGTCTTAATTCGTTTGTATATTGTTGATCAATATATTTAAAATTATTTACTTGCATAAAACCATGATTTAAACCTTGACCTTAAAAAAAATTATGCTTAGAAAGGCAAAATTATGTTTACTAATTTTGATCCAGGATTTGTATAGTAAATTAGTATTAAACAATGTAACAAATTATGTATTTGTACTTAAATTCTTCCAGTTTTATTTTGTGCTTAGATTTTTAATTTTATAAATATAATCTAACCCATGTGTTAACAATTCAATTCATGTTGTTAAAATTTTATTTTAGATTTTGCTAATATGTGAATTGTTTTTGCCTCTTTGTAATAAAAGTCATTTATTTCTTATTTGCATTTTCTTAAGTATTAAAGTTTTAATGAAGTGTTAAAATTAAAATACCTTAATTAATGTATTAGATATTAGCAAATTAGCACTGTCAACCTAATTTGTTATTAAAATTTCATATTTGATTTTATTTATATTTGTGTTTTGGTATGACAACTCGAAAAGGAAGTGCCTTTTTTTCGTGTATTTATTTTATTTTTAATACTTCTTACTTTTTAAAATATTTTCATATTCATATTTTTATAATTTCATAATTTTAATGATGAAAAGAAAAGTAGTCATAGATTAAAAGGTAAAATTAATTTGGTAAAGTTATACTACTTCGCTCAAAAAAATCAGATTTTTTTTATTTAAATCGGATTTTTTTGATTTAAATAAAAAAAAATTTTTTTAAATAAGATTTTTTTTTTATTCAAATACATTGTAAGAACTTTATGATTAAATGAAATTTCTTGATTAAATGATAATTTATGATTAAAAAAACTTTATAAATGTTTAATCAAAACTAAATTAATATTAAAACTATATTATAACAATATTTTAGAAGCTCTAACTTACTAAAAAAAAATTTTATTATAAAATGTAGCCTTGAATGCATAGCAACCATTTTGAAGCAAATGCATAATTGAAATTTCAAGACTAGGTGAAATAGAGAATTTAAAGAATACTTCAGAGGTCTGTCTAGTTTTTTTTGAGAGATACTTATTTTGTGAAAATTAAAAATTATATTAAAAATTTAACACAAAAATATGGATTTATAGTTTCTTATGAGACAAAAAAAATAAAATTTTAAGAAAAAGTATTTTGTACCGTTTTTCCTAAAGTTGAATTTGTGAAGGTACCACTAAGCAGTAGTAAATTTGGCTTGGGCAGACCCCTGTCCTTTAACTATTAAAACAAAGTTTCAATTAGCAAACCATAATTTTAATTTGAAATTGTAATTTTTTTTCCTCTTGATTTTTAATATGACAAAATAAATGTAACAGATTGTGTTTATAAATGTAGTCATTCATCAAAAAATAAATAAATATTTAATCTATATATTTTTATACTAAAATATTCATTTTTAATCCTATATCAAAATAGATAAGTTAAGTCCCAAACTTTTTTTAAAAAAATCTATGTGCTCATTGGAACTTTTTTTTCACAAAATTTCTTAATAGAAAATCTAACTCTACTGCTTCAAATAGAGTTTGCAAGGAAAGAATGACATTGTATCTAGAAAAAAATATCTGAATTCATCAGCCTTTTTTTTTTTTCTATTTTTGGCGTATTAGGGTAATTTCTTTTTAATAGAACCTCAAACTGTAGAAGTATACTTTTTACACCAATTAAATATAATGTAGATTTTAATTCCATGCTTTTTCAATCGAAAGGTAAAATTTTAATTAACATTTCATTTATTTATTTATTTTTATTTTTTTAAAAATCATGTTTATTAATTACTTTCTATAGCTATGAAAGTCTATATTAAAACAGCATTAAATGTGTAATTTAATCTGTCATTTCAATCTCAAGAATTAAAAGATTTTTAAAAATGTAAATTCAAATGTGTTGGAATTTAACACACACCGAGAAAGAAAGTAATTTCGTTAACTAAGATTAATTAATGCAGCAATTTATTTAAAATAAATTTTAAAACTAAGAAAAGAAAATAATAAAAGTTTCAATAATTTAAAACACTGTTTTTTAACTTTTAAAATCAATATATATATTAAAAAAATCAGTTGATTTAAATCAATGATTTTTTTAAAAAAATCATTTGATTTAAACCATGATTTAAATCAACAAACCCTGTTATTGACACCAATGATTCTTAATTTAGATAATATATAGATATGCATATTGAAATGAAAGAAATATGCTATGTACTAAAAGGCAAAATTAATAGAGTAGGAGTACTTATTCGTATTGAGGAACCATAAAGAAAATTACCATAATATTAATAATGTCAATGCTTAGTTAATATTGATAATATGTATTAGCTGAAATAACAAAATATAGCCAGTCTACAAATAAGCAAAGTTATTGGGGAAAAGATATTATTGCTTTTATAGATATTATTATACACCATATTATTGATACCAAAGTTTAATTAATATTGGTAATATGCATTAATTGAAATGAAAAAAATAAGCTATGTGCTGGAAAACAAAGTTAATGGGAAATTTTCACTCGAAAATTTTGTAAAGCGAAGATAAGGAATTATTATTTTAATGAATTAGAATTAAAAGAATATTTTTTAACCACTACTTATAAATATTTGAAATAGCAAGTTCAGATAGAAAAATATCATGCTCCAAAATCTTATAAGGAATTCTATTTATTTTTGAAATGTTGGCTTTAGTTTGCTGCCACTGATAAATGTATTTTGCACAAAATCAAATGTTAAACAGTTATGCTTTAAGTACTAAATATGTTAATATAGGTATAAAGTATTATATTGATATATTTGATGATTATTAAAACTGCCGCAACACTAAGTTAATACCGATATTGTGGAAATAAGTGTCTTACGACCCCTTGAAAGGGATGCGTACCGATGAAAATTACTTCATAGTGTTAAATTTTGACTATCATGAGTTGACCATGAGCAATATCATCACACCAAGTAATGCTAATTAAATTGATTGGATGAACTTCAAAAAACGTGTTTTGCTTAATATAATTACGTAAAACCATCGGGAAGGATAACAAATAATAATAATAAATAAATAAATTATTTTAGCTTTATTGTTTGAAGAGTTTAGTGGAAAAGCCAGGTAAGTGACATTTTCAAAAAAGATATTTAATCAGGATAAGAAGAAAGAAAAAAGGACCCAAACTATTTCATTACCGATCTATTAGGAGACTGGATTAATAATTCTTTGTCTTATTTTATTTACCATTGCCTAATTTGAAAATAAAAATTATATTGATGCAACTACTTCATGCTATTTTCACTGATTCATAAATACCCCTAAAAATGTATTTTACTAAGCTCATCAATTGTATCAATATATGCCTTTTAATTTGGTGCATGATTTGTGTTGTTCAGTATATATTAATTGATTTTTTTTTTCTTTTTGTTTATTTACCCCGTACGAAAAATGGGTAGTCAGCTAGTATTTCTAATAAAATATAATTTTTTTTTTATCCAGAAAGTCCTAACAAAAAAAGGACCCTCCTAAAAATATGCCCTAATGCAGAATGCGTAACTTAGTACTTATGAGCAGTTTGTTTCTAAAACCTTGTTTCAGAATTGTGAAATGAAGGAAATTTTATCTAGCATGTGAAAGGATTAGTTCTAAAAACTATAACTTAATGACAAATTATCAATTACCTTTGCTGTACAAGTTAGCCTCTGAGATCACCAGGGTTGATTTGGTTTGAAAACTGGTGTTGAACAGCGAACCCAGTTTTCCGTTATCAATGTTCGGCTCTGTAACTTTGCAATTTTGAACCTAACCCAGAAGATAAACTCTTTAATCGCGAAATAGGGTAAAATTAGACTTCGTGAAAGACTTTTTGATGGAACTAGATTGCATTTTCCTTAAACGAAGAAGTTTACAACAAAAACCTCCCATGGTTAGCCCGATAGGAAAGCTATTCCAACCCAAGACCTGTCCACCTCTGAGGATATTTTACATCAGCAACGTTGTTGGTGGGAGCTGAATTTGCTGGGACTTTAACCTGGGTCTCTTCATTAGAAGGCGAAAGTTCTCCCTGAGCCACCACAGTTCTCTCATACTAGATTGCGACTTTTGGTTGTGGGAATAAATACAAGACTTGGTCTACCATGATCCCATCTCATCTGTCTCTAAATGTAAAGATGTGCATATTTCACATAATGCACATTTACCGACATGCTCTACTTTCAATAATTGAACATCCACTTATGCACAAAAGATGCTCAATATGATGGACATCATATTGAGCATCTTTTGTAAACTGAAGATAGTTACATTCTTTATATTTGTAATTGTTTGCTATATAGCTATAATACGCCACCTAGAGATAATTTTTTGAACTAATTTATTTTTATATTACTATATTTTATTTATTTTTGTTACATGAAGTTACCGAATTTCTATAATGCCATTTTTCAATTATAATGAAATTTAACTCATAGTTTTTACTAGAATAATTACGAAGATCAATTATCACTATGGATACTTTGCACCTGTTAAAATATGGAAATCAATATCGAATTTTAAAGGTAGGCAAAATTTTGGTAACAGGTTTTGATTGTAGTTTCAATCATACCAGAAATACCACTTTTTGTTTAAATAAAATATAAAATTCTAACAATATTATTTGCTTATTAAAAATCTGCATAAAATGTGAGCTGAGTCTAATCTCAGATGAAAGGTGTCACAAAATTATGCTAACGTAAGATTGAACTCAATATACCCTGATCATAACTTGTGCGTGATACGATTTTCTATTAGGTGCTGCTAAAGTTTCTTTGTTTCCCAAGTGTTCTTTTGCTGAACTCAGGTTTGCATCGTCAGAGTCAAAACTTGGAAACTGTAGTAGGAATAAAAATCAAATGGAATTACTTCTGTCTGAAACAATTACTAGCTATCGTTGGTGACCAGCTTGGTCATATTTAGAAATTATCTTGTTCAACAAACTTTAATGGAAACCATGCACAGGACGACTATATTCAAATATTCTAATTCTTCAACCCCCGAGTTTATTGTGCCACTTAAGAAAAATATATATGATTTTATGTGTTTAATCATAAATTAACACTATTTTCAATAAAATATAACTTTCTGATTTTAATAAGATATAACAATAGAAATTTAAGGAATTGTGTGAAATTTGAAATAAAATCTTTTGAAATGAAAAAGAAATAACATTTTAAAAGAATCGTACGATATTGATTAGCGAATTTATTATCAATTAATTTTATATTAGGAATAATTTTAAAACATGGACTTAAAAGTTTTTGAAAACTATGGGTGTCATGAAATTTGAAAAAAAAAAATTGTTTTGTCCAATTGAAGTATTATATATTATAGTATACATAGAGCTAATATTATAAAAAAGATTTTTTTTTATAATTTTTTGCAACACGTGATTCATTTTAATCTGAATTCATATTAAAATATTGTCATGTAAATTTTGCCCATTAGTATCATGAAATATGCATTAAAAAATTTCATTTTGTCCAAATTACAGTAAATTGAGAGTATTTTATATTGTTAAGATGAGGATTTTTGCTTTATCTTTCTAAATCGGCTAATTAACAAAATGTGATCATCAAACTCTTCGAAAACAGACATAATGTCAGGAAATTTTTAAAAACTTTTATTTTGTCCAAATTGTAGTAAATGTATAGCATATATTGCGCTAATAAATGGAAGAAAAAAAATTGGCGAAATTTTTTAAAATTTTGTGCGATACGTGATTTATTTTACACCGGGTTCATATTTAAGACGAATTCTCCAGAAGTCGTAAATATGTTTAAAAAAAAAATTTTTTTTTTTTTAATATCTTACTTTATCTGTAAATATAAAACCGATGTTTGTTTTTTTTTAAAGGAATTTTTTTTATATTTTTTTGCAACGTTCGATTTATTTCAAATGGGGTTCACATTTAAATATGAACATCAAATTCTTTGGAGAAAAAAAACCATATGCATCACGGATGTATACAAAAATTTCAAAAAAAAATTTCTTTTGTTGAAATTTCAGTAAAACTTGAGTATATATTAGCTCTAATACAAGGAGGGACAGTTTGTGAATCTTTTTATATTCTTTTATGCGTTATAATTTTTCAATAAATATAGGGAAAAAGTTTATGTGATTTCAATATTATTATCACTGAATATTATTCATGTTAAATAAATGTTTTCCGTAATTTTGTAAATAATCATTTAACTGAATAAAATAAGAAAATTTCACAAATGAATGTATTTTAATTCATTTATTTTATAAATAAAAAAAAAGTATCAAAAATTGTAAAATGTTGTTCTTGTACATCACAAATTTTTTGGTATCATATGCTTCGTAAAAAAAGATTCTATGGTTCATAACGCCACTGTTTCATTTTTCTCAGACAGATGTCGCTTCAATCCTAAAAAGAAAATATGAACAAAAAAAACACTTTATTTCATAATCAAAAATATATAAAAAATATTTGCTGATTCATTGATTCTAATCTATTGATTTGAATAGGTAAGTCAACGTATATATTTATATTTTTTTAACTCGTTCAGTAAAATCATAATCAAATCACCTACGTAAGTTGATAATGTAATTCAAATTAGTGTCCTGATTTATTTTGTCTAAATTTATTGGATATCTGTTTTGTTGCTTCGAAAGCCCTTAGAATTTATTCATGTGTGAACTAGGTATCTAGTGACTTGTGAACCATGAATTATAGTGATTGAAATAAAAAACGATTTCTTGATTCGAAATATTTTGTTTGTTGATTTGAATAATAAAAGATAGCCGGTAAAATAGGTTAGGTGCTTGGCCAGGCTTAGGTGGAGTGTATTGATTTGAATAAATTCTCTCCATCCATTTTTTGACACCAATGTCCAGTTTGACCCTCGTTGAAATTAAAGATTCCATTTTAATCAGAGACTCTTATCTAAAAATTTAAATCGGTAAATCAAATTTACTACAACCAACTGACTTTAATTATGATTTAGAAATTGTGTAAGCAAGCTGGCTCTTCTTCTTCTTTGTTACCGCAACAGCCCATTCCAGGCCTTGGCTGCCTCAACAGCTGACAAATTCCGGCGCCTCCTATACATGGATACTCCCTTCCAATTTCTAACCTTTAGGGTTAGCAAGCTGGCTCCTTTGATCCAAATTACTTTGAAGATTACTTCATTATGCCTAAATTTACTGTATGCTTGCAAATTTTATACTCGTAGTTACATTTTTTAAATTAAAAGGTAATTTATACTCACTGCATTGATTGCAGGACTTGCGACAGTTGGTCACCATCCATTTTGGATTCCTCTTGCATTCTCCATTTTCTGCCCATCCTCTGCACTGACTGTCTGTGTCTGTGCATTCCTCTGAAACTCAATATACTATTCTAAGAATATATTATAGAGCGAGTAACATGTAGTTAGTATACGTAAAGAACTCCCTATAGCCATTAGTCTGGTATAGTGGCGGTGACTATGGTTACGAAGTTGGGCCATTATTTAAGACAGGTTTAGGGTCGGGTAGGCGTGAGAAAGGGAATCAGGGGAGAAAGGAGCTAACCTCTTTCAAATGCACCATTTCTTGTTTCCATAGCAGCAAGCAGACTTAGACATTGTGGCGAGGGGTATTCTTTCTGTAGACAAACTATACATTGCTTTGTTGTTTAATATCTTTTTTGAAAGGCGCGCAGAGACTTCTTTTTTTTAATTAACCGATTCAAAGGCTTGTAGACCGTCCTGTTGATGACTAACTTATAAAAAAGTTGCGTAGACTGTTTTCTTATTACATTATTTAGATTTATTGCACTGTTCATAATTAAATTACATGCAAAGTTGTGTTAGCCTAATATCTAAAATTAATTTTTTTTTAGCTATTAGTAAATAAATTTATAAAAAGTAATATATATTTTTTCAAATTTATTTTTTGCGTGAAACTATACCTTCGGATATACGAATTTTACAATTGCGTACAAAAAAAAAAACTTCAATTCGCTTAAAAAGTTCTCGAGATATGGCGAATTCCCAAAAAGAAAAATTAATCCATGGGGAATGATACAGAGAAAGATCCAATCTTAATAACAATAATTAGAGACCACGTTCCTGACCAAACTTTTAAGACCATATTTCTCAGATTGCGGTTGCCCCCTATATCTTCCTGGTCAGAAATCCGAATCTGTCTAAGGAAAAAAAAAAAGGTATGTTTATTCCGAGAAAGTACGTTTTTGTGTCTGTTTTCGTAACTCCAAATATCGTCTGTCTAACACAGGGATGGGGAAACTACGGCCCGCGGGCCAACTGTGGCCCGTCGGAAGGTTTTATCCGGCCCGCGGATGGAATTTTAACTTGCTGATCTGTGGCGAATATAAACAATATACATCCATTTTCTTGTCTACTTCGTTTAAAGTTATTTTTCTTTCTTTTTTAACTAAGTACTGCGGACCTTTTAACTTTCTCTATTTTTGTTCTACAAAATAATAAATTGATGGAGGCTAGCACAGACAGCTTCAATTGGTGAATAGCTCCCCTGGTGAATTGGCTCCCCTGTAGTTCCATATAGAATAGCCGTAGATTGGTGCCATCTGAAGCAATTGTTTCTGAATATGCCAAAAATTGAGTTTTACAAATCATTACCAAAAGCTAGTTTCCCAAATATTTCATGCCTAGAAAATCAGGGCTATGTTTGCTTCCTTTTATTTATGCGTGAACAAGTGTTTTCATCTACAAACCTGAGAAAAAATCATTTCAGAAGTAGTTACCTAGAAGTAGTTTACCCTTGTTCCTTAAAATAAGTACATCTCACTTGGAACCTTAATGTAAGGAACTTTTAAAAATGAAATCGCAATTTCATTCATCTCATTAAATATTTACACTGAAAATTGCATATAGTATTTTTTTTTTATTTTAGATGTTTTTATTTAGCCCACCAAAATTTTTTTTCTTCGATTTTTGGCCCTCGACCAGAAAAGTTTGCCCATCCCTGGTCTAACATATCGGTCACCCCTTCGAACCACTAAGATTTAGTCATGGAGCTTAAAGATCCGATCACTATATCAAAAGTTATTTGTTATTCAGATTAGTCCGTTTTTTTATTTATTTATTTATTTTATGCGCATTGTACCTAATTTTGAAAACCTTTATTTATTTATCACTATTATTTGTACAAATGAAGATCTTACGGTCGTGTGGCTGCTCTAATCATTGTTTTGGGATTTTCAAAAAGAAGAAAAAAAAGATGGAAATTGTTTTAGAAAAGTTAAAAATTTAGTTTCAGGTTATTTAATTTTCAAGTTTATGTCAAACAAATTTAAAGAAAATAAAATTATAATATTTACTTTTGTGTTGTGAAGAGCACTGGTACAATTTATTTATCTTTCTAAGATCCGTGCGACTAAATCCAGAACGCTGTCCAATGAAAATGTCTCTGTTCTTCGGCAGGATAGTTGGCCTGTTACGATATTTTGTGAAGTCGTAAGATCCGTAGTGCATGATGGAATCGTAATCGTAATCTTCTCCCAGATGATGAAGTCTGCCATCAGTGTATTTTGCAAAATTGTGTGTCTGTCCTGTATTAGAGAGGGAAAATATAATTCTTTGACAATATATTGTTAAATATCTTTATGCACTTATATAAATAAGTGGTTATGTTAAAATAACTTATTATTTATACTAAAACAAGAAGCAACTTTTCGACTTAAATGAAAAAAATTGGAAACTACATAGTATATATCAAGCAGGTTAATATAATCAATACTACATTTTTTGATATTTTGGCATAAAAGATAATAAAACAAATTGCAACAATTTAAGTTTTTATTTGTGAAGAATTAAAAATTTAAAGCCAAGAATTTTAAAATAAATTAATTAGTTACCTTTTTAATCTATATAAAAATATTTCAGTATTGTTTTTTTTTCTTAGTATTCATATTTATTTATTTATTTATTCACAATGAATAAAAAAGTAAATTAAGTTTTAAAAAATTTTATCATTTATTAAAAGCGAAGTACTGCAGTTGTTCCATTATGCGTTTTCCGTCCAGTATTACGTTTAATTCAATTTCCACCTCATTTTTTTTCCTTTAAAGTTTGAATTTTATTTTATAGCCAGTGTTGAACAAACGACTCAATTCTAAGTTTACGACTATCATTGTTCCAATAAGTAGCTTTAAAATTTTGAAGCCATCACAAAGATTAACAACTATATTAAAACTATATGATTAAAAATAAGAAAAAATAGGGTGCATATCGGTTAGAGGGACAATGTGTAGGTGATCACTTCTAAGCGTTGTCGCCAGTACGAACATATCCTGGTGTAAATCAAAACCATAATTTATGTATGCTATACAATGTATAGTAAAAAAAATATCGATATTTAATATTTTTTTTGCATAGGTCAATATTTTCATTACCCGAATAAAATCTATCAACACTCACAATAGCGTACTCAATAATTACACTATGGTAAAAAAATTTTGTTGCATTTATACGAATACTTGAACTAGCCTAATTTCAAAACTGGAATTAGTTTTGTTTCTAAAGCTACAGATTTTTTTTAAAAGGACAATTTTAGTCCTATTTTTTGTCGAAACGCACAAGCTTAAACACATTATGTATAACAGGGGGTCGTGTAAAGTTATGAATTGCATGGTATACCATGAAATGGAAACGTCGTCATACGCTGCTAGGGGCACTTCCTATTATGATCTATTCAGAAGCGCACGAAGAAACAGTTGAAAATTGGGAAGCACCCCTTAGTGGCCCATGACGATATTTCATGGCATGGACTCCTGATAGCTAATCCTAATGGATCCCCTGGCTCTAACTCCCCTGTAAGTTTACCGTAATATTTACACAAACCCCTGTTATATATAACGTTAATAAACTGGTATATTTTGACAAAAAAAAAGAGAATAATAGACTAAAATGACATATAAAACAAAAAAATGTAGGTCGGAGAGCCGATTGCTGATTTGAAATCAACAATACGTAAGTATCTAAGTTCTGTTAATAAATCTCTTGCACAGAAAAAAAAAACATTTATTATCTCTATATGCAGTGTTATCTCTATGTATAATAGGAGCGATTTATTATTTTTTGATATGCTATATGTTCTGATCAAGATATTGATATAATTAATTATCTCAATATTACCGTATTATTGGTTATCAAAAATGATAGTATTATTATAATAGTATTTGAAATATATTGATATCGTTAATGATTGCCATATTCTCGTATTTGATACACCTACGTATGTTTAGTATCGGCTGCTGGTGAATAGTATATGATGTTGTTCCTACGTGTTGCTTAACTTGACTACATCGTCTCTATAATCAATAAGTACCCAAAATATCCACTACTTTTTTATTTTTGCAAGGAATATAAAATGTGATGTGCCCTTCAATGTTTAAGCCTTTATAATTACCTTGTTGAATGTTCTCCCACAGAATTTGCACGTAGTTATCTCTGTCTGCTCGGCTCTGTTCGTGCCAAAATCCAACTGCGTGCATGAATTCATGTATGACGATGCCCACGAACATGCAACCTTCACCCAACGACAACATCTGTCTCCCGCCATCACGTCCAATCATTGAGAAACACCTAGAAAAACTCTTTTATTATAGGTGTTCAGAGATGTTTATGTATCGAAACTGACTTCATTGACAAAACAAAAGGGAAATTATAGAACAGCACTTTTATTTTAAAAAACGATTACATTACTATGAATTTAACACGTTGAACGCCGCGCTATATAATTTTGCATGGCTTGCCCGTCTGCCCAAACGGTAAATAACTACAAAAAACTAAATTTGCAAATATTAGACAGATTTTGCTAGTTTTTTAAAAGGTTTAGCATGACATATCTGAAAAAGAGTGGTGAATTATAGTAGCCTACGAATTGTTTAGAAATAGGGGTGGATAAAAATCTACTAACTTGAATTTATCAAACGACGAATCACAATTAATAATATACCACTTGAAAATATTTATTCTTTGTCCGGAGCAAGTTGGCGTCTCTGTGCATATAAATAAAACTGTTTTTGTCTGTTCTATATTGCATTCATTTCTTCAAACCATTTTAGTAACGATAATAATATAAAAAAATAACAAATTTACTCGAATTATGTGTTTCCAATAATCTTATTGGCTTCGCCGGTCACCGGTGACCCCCGTGAAGCTACGAACAAACTCAGTGTCGGTCACCGGTGACCTCCATGGCCAAAATAAACGGACCTCCCTGAATAATTTAATAATGATTGGACTCAATCTTAAGGGCTCGAGGAGGTGACCTCAAATATGCTAATTAATAAGTGCTGACGATATTTTTTAAGTTACGAAATCAGACACAAAAACGCCCTTTTTCTAAATAATATGTAGGGGAGAGTTGGATAAAACGGGATACGTCGCCTAGTGACCAGACTATTGCAGCTATCTAGTGGACAACGACAGAAACGTGTTATTCGACCGTGATTATATCATTCTCGGTGCGTCCCGCCTCGAGATCACTATTTGATAGAAAGTTATAAGTCTCAGAACTTTTTTACTCTATTTTTTTGCCATTTTCTACATTTACGTGCCTTGTTTTTTACGTTGTACTGCCTACATATAAGGGAATAAAATTCCGGTGAGTATTAAATTTAATTAACCATTTATTTACCAATATTTTTATGTGCAGTCTATCTAATTTTCTTTTCACATTTAGGCAGCAGCCATGTTTGTTTCAAAAAGTGTCGGAGTCGGACAAAACGGGACACTTATGAGTTGGATAAAACGGGATAGAGTTTTTTATGTCCCGTTTTATCCACCCATTTATT